TTTTTACTGAATGTAAAATATGGTTACATTGTTTGACCTACCCTGCATATAAAAGGTTAAATAAATTTGGGTTCGTGTGACAAATTTGCAAACAATCTAGAGCAATTTTTTGGGTTAAAATTATAACGATCTGTTCTTCTTAAGTTTTACGATGTTTTTTTTTCTATTCATACCATATGTAACGCTTTGCATTCCATAAGAAACAGGTACAATTACTTAAATATTATTATACCTATACAGTATATTAGGTACACAAGCACCAAATAGCATTCGAGAAAATCTAGCGATAGTGAAAGAATTAACAGAATTTTGCAATGAAGTCAGCCATAGAGAGAACCAAGTCCGAGCATGCAAATGACCTCATGTCCGGACTTAATTCAACTCGCGAAAAACAATTTGCCAGCGATTTCAAAATCAAAGTTTCCGGTGAATCTTTCCCTGTTCATCGTAACGTTTTAGTTTCCTGTTCCAATTATTTTAAAAGCATGTTCAACAGTGGAATGATTGAAGCACAACAAAGATATACTAATATGAATAAATCAGATCCCGATGCGGTAAAGCAATGCATTGACTTCATGTACACTGGCGAAGCTAATATAACGTTGGAAAATGTGGAAAGCATTCTTAATGAAGCGAACTTCATGAGACTTACTCGACTAACATCGCTCTGTTCCATATTTTTGAAGGAGAATGTGAATCTTGAAAACTGCATTCAAATCCGTGAAATCACCCAAAAGTACGATTGTGAGTGTGGCAAGTTTATCCAAGATTTTATTGATGAAGAACTGAAACTTATGATAAATGATGATGACCCAAATAAACTGTTGATCGTCAATAGAACTGTCTTAAAACGATATTTAGAAGCATCAAAAATAAGTCATGGCTTGAAGTGGAAAGCAGTCAAACAGTGGATTCAAGGAAACGCTGAAAACAAAGAAACGATTCAAACTCACTTAAACGATCTCATGGATGTATCTCAGTACCCAGTGAATTTTCTCATGGATGAAGTGTTAAAGGATTCCCTTGTACAGTCTTGTAAACATGTACACGAGATGGTGGCTGACGCCGTTTTTAAAGACATCGGATCACTTTCAGATTTCATCTTCGAGCGGAATTGCGTTTTCATAAAGAAATTTGTCCAAAAATATAAGCCGACAAACACGACGGAGATAAATGAAGCAGCAGATAAATGTATCAGGGAACATTTTGATGAATCCTCTGTTAGGGAAGACTTCAAACAGTTGCCTACTAAAGAATGTTTTGCGTTTTTCGAACATTCCGAAACAAAATTTCGCAGTGAGAAACATAAAATTGAATTTGCGATGGACTGGATTAAACAAAATGAAAGGGAGAGGAAGGAATTTTTAGTTAGACTGTTCACGAGTGTTAAAATGGAACGCTTGTCAAAAGATTTTGTTATTGACATTATCCAATTTGAGACCCTTATCAACAACTCGCCCGATGTCAAAAATTTATTTCCCAAATATTCATTGTCACGACATGATAAAAAAAAAACAGTCCTACGGCGACCAGTCGAAATTCATATCGCAATGTTTGATCGTGAAACAGGTGAAATAAAATTGTTTGACCCTAAAAAAAGAAATATCACACTTCTCACTGAAGTTTACAAACAGAATTTCATGAAGATCGTATCGGTTGACGGTGAATTGTACATGGTGAGAGATAAAAATATCGTTCAATACCAAAAAGGTGAGGGCTGGACAATAATTGCGGAAATGCAACAAGTACCGGATTCAGAAACTCAGGTTTTGAATTTTCAGAATCAAATCTACGTCATTGGAAAAGAAAGAATGGGTCGTTTGGATATCAAAGAAAAAATTTTGGATGAAAGTTTACCTGGGTGTGGATTTTCAAAGAAGTTTGTTGTAGCAGCAACCGATAAATACATTTATGCTTCGGATCAATATGAAAATGATAGTGAAGAGACAAATAATACAGTGACGACGTACGACCCGGATAAAAAAATATGGGAATCCTTGCCCCCATCGGAGATTGTATATGTTTATACGGCGTTTGTTGCAGAAAACGATTTTTACGCGGTTGGAACATCTAAAGAACAGAATTGTAATGTAGTTTCACGGTACTACTCAGATATAAAGTCATGGATACCCACCCCAACAACGTCAATAGAAAAATGGCACATTTGCAGTACATGTGTTTTGGAGGACCAAGTTTACGTGATATCTAGTAATAGATCTGATAGATCAATTAAAAAGTACGGGGGAACTACCGATAGCAATTGGACAAAAGTCTGCGATCATGATTTAAGTTTGGGTGTCATATCAGCATGCACTTATGAACATAGCCCTGGTGACGAGGCAGAATAAGAAGATTGTTCGCGTCACAAACATTCTTTAAATATGAGAATTTTGGGATATTGACAACAAGCATACTTACCTATTTGTAATATTTAAAAATAGATTCCGGCTTCCTCGTCGCCTTTTCAGGCATTGCATTCCCGATCAAACCAAATGGAGACGGGGTTATGGCGTTAATCGAAATCAACCAAAAGTTTTTCTGTTTGAAAAAATCGTCTTCTTCAATTTGTACATAAACTTACTTATAAAATTACGATTCAATAGTGTAAAAGTATTGGTATTCTAAAAAAAAAACATTAGTCTTGTGTTTTTAGTCAGATGTGATTGGCAACAATTATAATAGATTCTAAATTTTTATTGATCAGTTATGTAATCTTTATTTATATAACATCTAATTTAATTTAACATTTTTTACATTCATTTATTTGAGTTTTTCACATTATTTAATCACATTTAATAGAATTTATATTATTGGACACTTTTGGTATTTCACTTATTTCTAATCGCAGCTATTTCAGACAAGTATGGAAAATAAAGTGGTTGATAGGAACGATGGCGATAGAACCTTATTAGGCAATGCATGGGATTAAAGGTCTTTTTACATAGGGTTCCCTAAAAATGAAAGTCTTCTTGTTGTTAGTGATAGCGATACGTTTTTGTATATGATTCCTGGATGAATTCGGAATTCTAATATTTTCTCGATTTCCGAACTATTGTTATCACGCCCACGACAAAATTGTCTTACCGCTGGAATGTGGAATTTGTTCTGTCAACACTCTAACGGGGGTGGACGGGCAAGGTTTTCAGACCAGGGGCCAAAAGTTTTGCCCACCTAGACGGGCGGGCCATGTAAGTGTGAAGTAAAAGTTACATTTCATGAACAATGTTTATACAGTGTTACAAAAGCAAAGTGGTGAACAATAAGTTTCGTGCCAAAACTGAATTTGAACCTAATCTTAACAAAGTCCTCTATATATATATATATTTTAGCTAAAACGTCAAAATTTGGTTTGTAAAAAAATGCCTATCTCAAATTTAAAAAATTTGCCGTGAACTTGCCGATGCTTAGCGATATTCGCAATTCCGATCCCTGCCGCGCGAAAGATTAAAAAGCTTGCGAAACATTAGTGTTCCGCAGGACGTAGTTTGAAAAACGCTGCTCTTACGAATAAACCCAGATAAACTGATTAGTTATAAAGGCTTTGTAATGTTTATGTAGGTTCCCGTACATTCGAACCCACGGCAATTGCATCTGCATACTATTGCACCTATGAAAATTTTTTTGGTTTACGGATATTTGAACCCATACTAACCCATGGGTTTTAGCACCCACATAGAGATTGAACCCGCGGATATACGCATGGGTTCAAATGTACGGTCACCTTTATGCTTTATGTAGAATCATTATAATCGTGAATAGTTTTTCACTGAACAGTACAATAAAGTCATCAAAAGAAATAGTTATTCAGCTATTTGTGGGTTTCCTTTGTTTGAGGAATTTAGCAAGCATTGCGATTTTATAACGAAAAGACAAGGTAAGCGCATTCCGTCATGAGTAACGAAGACGTTTCACTAAGCGAAATTATGGGCTGCAAACGACAAGCAGGCAAGATTGTACCGTTTTTGAATGCATTGCAGAAGCAAATTATTGAAAAATAACAAAGTAGTTTATAACATATACTCAACTGAATAATATATGCAACTGACCAACAACACTCTGCTATTTGATAGAAAAAAGAATTCGGATTATTTTTAGAATTTGTCCTTATTTTGAGGGTCTTTGTTTTAGGAACTATTTTTTTCCTTAATTCTAAGAAACATCCTTATTTTGAGATTCCATGATTACTTACTTTTTCTGAGGGCATTTCTTATATACAAACTCTTTAAAAATTAAACAACGGATAACAGAAATAGAAATTTTTTGATCACCAGATGTGAGATGCAAAAATGGAAGATTTTTAGGCGAATTACCTAAGTATGAAGATAAGTTCAAATGAAATTAGGCTTGGACTTCTCTGCTTATAAACGGGACTGGATTTACAAAACTTAAACGGGCGTAACTCACAATAAATTTCTACATTTTTGTGTAGACGTTTTAGTCGATATTACTAGGCAGGGATCAAAGACATGCGTTCATACTTGAATGTAGATTTTTTTCGATTGTTTGTTTACATGCCGCCTCTATAATCACATGCGCAATTGCTATTCAGTTCTTTTTCATTGATAAATTGCAAGCAAAGTGAGACACTCGGGTTATGACCGACGTCAATTTTCTTGTTTATATTTTGTTTGTGACTTGTTCTCCATTTTTTTGAGCGAGTGACAGTTCAGCAGTTTATTTTTGCACAAGCCGAGAATACACATTGTCATACAGAATAAGGAAAGATAAAAAAAAATGCATTCCAGTGTGAGGGAAGACGCGATAAACCAGTAATGGTTATCGAGCAGCGTCCCCTATGAGGAATACAAACAATAAATTATACTGAGGGAAAAAGTCGAACATAGAATACTTACTCACATCTTCTCGAAATAAATATTAATAATCTATCCTGAATTGTGATTCGAGACTGTTAGGAGTCTAGTATTTAAACCGCGATCCTCAATTGTCGTATATTTTGCGCTTGTCCGGATACCCCGATCATTAAATTTACGACTCCGACCTACACAACCATAGAAACAACAAAAGTTCCTTTTGCATTGGAAGATTGGACTATTCCAGTAGCTTTGTTCAGTAACGATACGATGGATGCGATACCTGATGAGATTATTCGGCATATTCTACATTATCTTCCTTACGATGAAGTTAGCAAATCGAGAATGGTAAGTGTGGAAGGGTGTTTGTTGCTATACCGGTAGTCCGTCCAGAAGTTCATACCGGTAGGCTACGGTAATTATTACCGGTACCGCTACCGGGTTTGTCTTTATGCCCATTTTGGAGTAAAAATAAACTTTCAGTATGTTTAATACCGTACTGGTAGCTGAACAAAGCATGAACAGGCTTATTCCAGACTATAAGAATACCGATCTACTGGTAGCGGTACTTGTTCCAGTGCCAAAAGTGTTCTCTTCCAGCCTTGTGTTGTGTTACGGTACCACTACCAGACTGTATGTCTCTTCAGTCCTTAGGCTTCAGGGCTTGCTGGCTTACAAGATAATATTTTTAATGGCTAAAACACATCCTTTTTTACTATCATGAAATGTATTATTATGTTTTACCCATTTCTTTGTTTTATTTGTCTTTGTTCAGTTGTTCATCGTCGTTTGTTTGTTCCACATTAGAATGTATGATGTGTGTAGTTACTGTGCGTGTCCCTATGGCACTTGACACCTAATTATAATGATTGTATTTATTCAGATATGTAGAAGATTTAACACCCTTGGAGGCCAAGTTTTGAATGATGGGTTCAGAAGAGTTCGCTTATTTCATACTCAATGTCTAAAGGAAGTGGGTAGCTAAAATCTTTTGTCATCAATAGAGTAAGTGGGTAGGCCACTACAATATGGCACAATTCTTTGATTACAGAGTAGCCCCGATATTGGATGACATCAAATATAATGATGAATACAAACCCCTTCTTTACGAGACAGTCTGATGGCATTTACTCTTTTTATCGCAGTTCAGCACACTATCCAAATTTCAACAATTTCCCTCCATTTGGCTCAATAAAACAAACACTCTATGTGTCTCACAAACGAGGGGCGTCTGGGACCACGTCAGATGCGTCATATCTCACCATGCTTGTCTCAATAATAATCTAAATTAATCTTGGCCGTCACATGACCAAAATTGCATTTTTTTGCTAAAAACTCTCGAATGCTACGGTAAAGTAAAAATTTTTTTCTATCGGTAAATTGGATTATTTTTTTCCAAGGAATTCAATGATGACGCTACTAGATTGCGCTTTTTTGTAGCATTTCGCGCAACTTCATTATACTGTATTATTACCGATATTGAGGGACAACAATGTCCAGACGTCTCCCAAAGGAGGGGTGTCTGATTATCTGTAAAATGGGTTTCTCTGAAATGGGACAATGTCACCCGATTTGTATAGTGTGCCGTACTGTATTGCAACATAATTGGCAAACCACAATGTTCAATAAAGTAAAAAAAAACTTTGGATTTTTTGCCCTCGTTTATGGGACAAATAGGGTTCTTGTTTTGTGTTCTATATGTTGGGACATTCTGATACTCAAATAGGGAGGGAGTCGCATTCTATCATATTGATCAGGAAGTGTCGGTAAACAAGAAGAAGGGAAGCATTGTTTTGACACAACCTCGCTAAATCACCAATGAATTGCTTAATTGTCATTTGACTCTTTGTTGTGACGCATCGTGCTGAATTTTAGGAATAAGCTAACCATCGCACCTGTTCTAGGTTCTAATCACATGGGGCATAAGTATGTGAAAGAGGATTGTTAGACTTCTCACTGTCGTAGGGTGGTTCATGTCAGTAACGGCCTCCGCCACAATTAATGTCTATGCGTCTGCTATCTAATCCCATACCCGACATGGACTGGTAATCGGACGAGAGGTCGTGGTTCACCAAATGGATATACCATCATATGTACTTTCCTCTCTCCTGGGATAAATGGGTAAATCTTATCCTACTTGAGATGTAGTGGCAAATAGGGTTGTTCTGAACAATTGAAATTGATTTAGACCGTGTCGCTTTACTTTTTGTAGATCAAAGATGAACTTCCAAGACGAGAATCTGAAAGGCGTAAACATCATTTGTACCCACGTCACGATGTTCTGCAAGCCATTGAAACAAGATTATCGCTACTTCGCATGACGTACAGTCGACTCATCAGCGTGGGAAGTATTTGCTTCATACCAGGAAAAGTGCGTCAGTTATAGGCTTACCGTAGGTTTCAGTTTAGCTGGATTCGTCTCAATTTTGACAATTTGCACCAGTGTCTTGTCTGGTAGACTTGAATGTCCCAGTCATGCAGTATGTCAGTCATGAATAATTTTTTTAATTTCAATATTGGTACAAAATTTTTCGTTTTGTTAATGGAGGCTATTTATCACTAATTTACGACTTACTTTACTATATTAGTGAGAGAGAGAACACTACAATATTGTTGCGTCATAGGTATTACCGGTATATGCTAAATACGTCAATTTAACATCTAACGTTCTCCGTACTGCCATTGAATTATCCAAAACGCCAAAAATGAAGTGCATGTTTTCTAAACCCTCAAAATCGGAACCAAGGTTTATCCAATCCCTACTGTGACGGTTTTTTGTTTTATATAGATGGTAATCCCAGTTGGATTTTTTAACTTTTCTTTCATGCAAGGTTGCACATATTTTCTCAAGAATAAGAAAAGATTGAGCTCTGAGAGAAGTTACAGGCGACCAGTATTTGAGCATTGCTCTCTTGTTTCTACCTCTAATACAAAATCATGATTCTTATTCCAGGTTTTGGACGAACTATTCCGAATTCTTGGAATTGTACAAGAGCGCGGCACACCAATACAGAATAGTCTTCCATTACTGCGGGTATGTCAAATTAATGTGTAGTATGTGTACCAGGTTAGGCCATAATTTTATTCCGATTTTCCTTATTTCAGTTCTATTACGAGTTCGGGGACTGTTTGTGTTAGCAAAGTGAATAGCTCATAGGTTTCAGTTTCTTTACACAACTTGATGTAAAATAGGCGAACAAAATTATGTACCTCCATATTAGTGCACATACTTCTGGAGCGCCCAAAACTTTAACTTATTTTTCTGCCTATCCAATTTTCAAATGGATTATAATTAGAGTGAGCTTCTCCAAAGACCCAAAAATTATGACCCCTGCTATTTCTGAAAAACACTTTTTGTTTTCGACAATTTTCATTAGGTATTTTGTGCACCATTTTTGATGATGAATGATGAAAAAAATGAGAAGTGACAAATGAAAACAAAAGAATAAATGCATTTCAGCCTGAAAATTATTAAAATTACACATAATATGATGAATTTATGCAAAACTGCCTGTAATGAGCTATTATAGTTCCGAATTATTGAAACATTACCCAGCCAATAATTATTGTACGAGAACAATTCTTGTGAATAACCTTTGACCTTTTCAGGAAATGAGAGATATTTCCTCAATGGCAATGGAGCATTTCGAAGAAGAGATTCTGCCACATGTCGACTCCACAGACATAGCTGCTGGGAAAAGTATTCCAGGTTTGGAGATTAATACCACTTTGGTATGCGATCTCACTTACCCAACATGATTGCAATCACATATAGATGTTTCCATTGAATTCAGTTCATATCAACACTTATATCGCATACAGAAGTAGCTGGAGATTTATTTTTTGGAATGATTTGAAATCACAACCAACAGAGCCACCGTGTATTCAATAAGAGCCCATCTCTGGCACCAGAACTTGAACTCACCTCGGAGCTAGGCTCCAGCTTTTTTGGTATCACCACTACAGTGAAACATTGGCCCAAATGCAGTTTCACAACTGTGACAGCCTTGACAGGGTAATGAAAGAGTCTCAAGTTTTAAAATTATTCAAATTTAACTTGAAACTTTAAATTAGAATTTGCAATAAACTGGCGCTCCAGAAGTATGTGTACCAATATGAGTGCGACAACTAGGCCCGGCAGCCTCTTTCAGCAACTCTTACTTCATTTCCAGATTTCTTAATGCCTTCTGATTTCTTACTTCCTACACCTTGTCAAAGTCCAAATGAAACACCGACAACGCCACCATCAAGTAGGAGACCGATCAAGAGACAGAATAGAATAAATCATACAGTAAAACTATATGATAAGGTAACTAGAAGTTCTGTTTGTGTGAGACTTTCCTCAACCTTTTTCGTTAAATTCCTCTGTTCGTTTATTTTGGAACCCTTTATTTCTTCCTCAATTTGTGTAAAAAGTACTTCATTTGTTCAATCTTTGAATGGAGATTCAACTAGTATTAGACGTCAGTAGCACTCGTACGTTTGTACAGTTCAAGTAGTTCACGTGCGGATAAATTAGCATTATTGTAGTAATAACAAAGAATATTAGTGGTTGTATTTCGGCAAAATTACTCCCCAATTGGCAAACGTTGAATATTACCCTTTCTTTATGTCAGAGTCCTTTTTTATGACCCCCGAAAAATAAAATGAAAATTGAATTACACAGAAAATATTCAAAAATAAATAACAAAACTGACAAATATTCTAATGACCCATGTTCTTGCATAGTCTCGCACGAAAGATCGAACCGTGGCCTCTATTTCTGTGATAGTGGCTCTCAGTACTGGTTCTAAATTTGATTGATATTTAGTTTTAGCATGGGGTATTGTTGGGAAAGATTTTTAGTGCAACCCCATTGAGTTACCCACCAGTTTAAAAACCCTTATTTTTGGGTCCCACTCAGCCATTAATATTGATTTCACAGCGTAGGACAGTGCTAATGCATCAAGTCTTCTTATTCAGCTTTCAAGTCAAAATCGAATGATTTCCCGACAACGTGTACGAATTAATCAGTTAGAAAATGTAACGACCTCTCTCTCTCTCACGGTCAATGAACAGAAGGGGCAGATATCTGAAATTGTAAGTATAAGTTGTTATCAATGCATTCAGTTCTTTTTGTTGACAATTTTGCTTTTTGGGCTTGTTTTCTTTATAACATGAAATCACAGCATCACTTTGAAAAAGGGTACTCCTGTAGTATGTGTACCAGGTTAGGGTTAGGCCATAATTTTATTGCGATTTTCCTTATTTTTTCAGTTCTATTACGAGTTCGAGGACTGTCTGTGTTAGCCAAGTGAATATACCCCTTTTACATAACTTGATGTAGGTAGGCGAACAAAATTAGTTACCTCCATATTGGTACACACACTTCCGGAGCGCCTGAATAACGCCCACAAATATATTATTCAAGTTGAATAATGTTTGTCTGAGGAAGTCTGACCTTGGTCAGAAATATGTTTGTGTTAGTGTGAGTAAGACTCTTGATTCACTCAGAATAGTTATCTGTAATCTTGCTACATCATCTTTGTATTATATGCATACGGTTCCACCGGCACAAAAGCATAGAAGAGGATAAGTAGTAACCCAAACCATTAGCTAAGTTCATCGCTTTAATCACAGACCAACCGATCCACTATGAGAGTTATAAATAAGAATTGCATATTCTCTTTTCATGATATGTTATTGTTTATTGCAAACTTCATTGTCAGATGAAGCAACTGGGAGTTCTTCAAGGATTGTTCAGAGACCAACGCAGGGTACCGTCATCCTCTGTTCCTTGTACCTCCAGAGATTTCAACAACAACATACTCTCATTTGAAGAAGATTTCCTAGACGAATTATGCCCTACCGAAAAGCGAATTTTACCAGATAGGACTGATTTAGCGAACGCCAGAAAAGCGAAAAGACGAAAGAAAGACTGATTGATACACGACTGTGGGGCAGCTTGAAAATCCACAATAAAATCAGCCTAATTTTTCTCATGAAAGTTGATTTTGCTTGCTGAAAGGCTTCATACAACCAGTTACTGAGGAGCTAAAGATTTCTCAGATAGTTATACTGAAAAACTAATTTCACCTTATAGGCAGGGCTACCATTGATATGAACCCAAAAATGGTTTGTCATTGTGTCAATTAATTTGCTGTTATTAAGTAATGAATGCGCGTAGCAATCAATGGGGTTGTAAAATAGTATTTCTAACGAATCATTCATTCGAATTGACCAATCTAAGCGCCTGGTATAAGAACCTCTACCCATAAAATAAGGACACATGTCAAAATAGGGACGTTTCTTAAAAATAAGGACAAAAATTTCATTAGGACAAAGACCTTCAAAATAAGTACAAATCTCGGAAATAAAGACGTTATGGCAGCCCTGCTTATATAGGCCTGATTTAACAAACCCTAGACAAGCAAAAAGACAGAAAAAATAGAATGATTGACACACAGCTGTGGGGTTGTTCGAAAAGCCAAAATAAAATCTGAATTTTTCATATATGATGATTTTACTTATATACAATTTCAACTTAAAAATTAATATAAGTATTAAGTGGTAAAAATAAGTGCTTGGATTTTGTTGTTTACATGACATATTAAAAATGTGAAAAATTAGATTGTTTCAGAGCTGGAGCCACTGAAATGTCTGGCAACTCCATCTAACATGGTAAGCTTGAGAGCTAGAGAGCTGGAGCCACTGAAATGTCTGGCATCTCCATCTAACATGGTAAGCTTGGCCGCGGCTGCATCAAAATGCCACGGCTTCAGTTCTGGCTGTACAGCCAGAAGTGCTTAAATTAATATCCATTTTGTGTATAGGGTAGCCCAAATGTAGACTGACCTTTATTGAATTTGAAAAAACTTGAAGTTATTATTTGGGCGGCTCTATATATTGGTAATTATTGTGTACTTAGGATGTTCTATTGTTTTGGGGAAGCTGTTAGTCTAACTTTAAAGCAAAGTCATGCACACTCTGTAGAAAATTGATTTCCGACTTGCGGTGAGCACTGAAGTGCCAAGGGCTGCTAAGAGTATAGTAATTATATATAGAAATATAATTTAGAATTGTATGTCTCAGATTTCTTCCCTTTCACAATATGTTATCACAAATTATGTCATCCATTAGTGAAATAAATATTTCTTTAATAGAAAAGGATTTTCATGTCGCAGGGGAGAGCGAAAGCAAACGGATTAGTCACAATGCGAACCATGGATTTTCAACTGTTTACCAGTTTTTTCATACGGAAATAGCTATCTCAATGTTCCCTCTAATTTTTTGTAGTATGTGTGCGCAGAAATTTTGGTGTGTGCGCATTTTTTTGGAAATGACTAATATTTGTGCAAAAACCAATGAAGAAATTTTGGCGTTCTAACCGGGTAATAAGTGGGCCAACAACAAACTTTCTCAACCTGCCAACCGAGCACATAGTTACATTACATCGAAATACGTCTGCGCGCAGTAAATCTATGCGTGTGCGCGGCCTCTGAAAGCTGTGTGCGCACGCACACCTTGGAGGGAACACTGAGCTATCTAGTAAATTGATACATTACTATTAACATGATTGGATTACCTCAAAGCAAGGATGTTAGCTTTGCTTGCACTATATGAACGATTAATCGCACTCCGTATTTAGGGTGGTGTGGCTGACAATAGGTGGCTGCGGCTCATGGTAGACAAAATTGCAATCTTATTGTCTTATGTTTATCTCAAAATAAAGAAATTAGGATAAGACAGCCTAATCCCGGAACGGCGAATCCCAGCTTTTGTCTGCTGGGAATGCATGGGAATAGTCATTTTTCAATAATCTAGCGTGCAAGGACTTTCATATGTGGATGGATCAATACTGATCCTATTAGATTGGGTGGGACAATGTCATATAGGGAACACTAGGGTGACCATATTTCCAAACCCTGAAAGGAGGACACATCGTTTGGTGGAACAATATTACACCGTGCCTGATATACCGGTATATATACATTATGTATGTACTAAATTCTCCACAATTAAAAATCTAAGTGACGATAGACGATGTGACGGCAATATGGACCTTTCCCCGAGCATCGTCTTCTTTGTTTACTTCGTAACATTGGCCAATCAGCAAGATGCAAAAAGTGACGTAATTACTCCCAAAATAGTCCCGAAAATTTTGTAATGGTAAAGTATAGAAAGAATTTTTCGGGGGTCAAAGGTCGGGGAAAGGTCCATAATGCATTATTGTCTTGGCAACGATCAACTGTAGCCGCAAGTAATGCACTCCGCTTCGCTATCAAATCTAAAGCATGAATACTTTTGCTTCAGTAGATGGGTAGAAAAAAAATATTTTTCTTTTCGGCTTAATTTACTGTGTCTACTGACGTAATTTTCTGCTAAAATCGAAACTCCACCAAATTGCTAAATACAAGATGCAATGACGTAAAAGATAATTGCGGAACAACACGATTTTTAGGTGATGAACAAGTATGCATTTAACACTGAGCAGTGGTTTTTGCGATTCTGCCAAACCCCGGAAGCTATTGTACAAGCTCTCTCTTTAAACCCCCATTCAACGGCTGAAATTAGGAGCGCAATTAGAACTCACAACAAGATAGGCCGCGAGCCGAGGCCCTGAAAAACGCCTAGAAAGTGAGTTTCGTAGCGCACATCAGGTAACTACCTGAAAATGATTTTAAAATGTTCCTTAAAAATTTAGTAACAAATATTGCCTTGTTCCCACTTCCAAAAGTTGCACGTTTTACGGAAAAGACGCTTTTACTACAAGAAATATGTGCTACGATCTGTCCTATATTCTCTACATTTTCGGCACTGAACAATGACTTCTGCATGACGTAACAATTGAATTAAACCAGCTGTTAGCGAGCGGATGAATATTAGTTATTTCTGCTCGACCTTGCGCTGAGTTGGGCAGGCTTTCCATAGCCCTGTTTAGTTATTATTAGTTAAGTTATGCTAAGACGTTGTTGAAAAATGTATAAGTAAATTATTGAACACTTGTAGATCCTTACCACGGATATGGGCCGTGAGACGAAACCATGAAAACGCCCAGAAAATGAGTTTCGTAGCGCACATCTGGTAACTAAATAAATTCTTCAGTTTTGTGTGAAAACGAACATAATGAACGCATTACAGCTTGTTCCACAATCCTGGTGCGAAATTGAATATAAGAGGTTCCCGGAAATTCAATAACCATAAGTTTACAACGCATACATAAGAACTATACAATTCGAGAGCCCTACAGCACACTAACACAAATGTATTCCTGTAATGTTTTGCCTGACCAAAATCGGACTTCCTCAGTCAATCATAATTTATTAGGTAGATTACGAAAAATATGGCATACATGTAACCAACAACAAAAAATACTTTAATTGTGTGACAGGAGTCGGGAGTGACCTCGAAAGCAGCGACACCAACAACGCTGATTCACATTTGAGAATAAATTTTATGTAATAACCACAAGCAGTTTACAACAAAAACAGCATAAAAAGCTACATCCATTTTATAGAAGCTATCAAGTATCAAACGTATTTATTTTTAAGCAATGAAGTCACAAATTAACATCGTGAGCACGAAAACACAAATAAATCAGTTATTTCTCACTTACAAATTTACCGCAAAAGTCAAGAAAATTAAATGAATGTACAATATGTACATAACATAGTGAACAGAAATATTACAATTTACAATTAATCTTTTTTTAGTTTATGTGGTTATGTATTTGAACAAAGGCAATAATATTTCTAGAAACAGGACTACGACACTAACAAATGTCCGAAAAAAAAAAAATGTATGATACTTATTAAATCAACTGTAATATCTAATTCACTTTCTTCTGAATTGTTTTCGAAATCCACTATTTCAAAAATCGACTTTTCCTCTATAAGTGTACTGCGATTTCTGCAGTCAATACAAAAACAAAAATCTGTGCAATTTAAGTTGATTTTAGCACACTTTCATAAATTATTTTGACTATTTTTCTTTGCAGTTTGCCAACTCAAGAACTGATTTGAGGGCCACATGCTTCTTCAGTGAATCATTGTTGGGTGGAGAGTATAATCCTTATGTTTGACAGTGTTAAATAGACGTGCCCTGGTATCATTTACATTCTTCATATCCTCTTCAAATTCCTCAGCTTTATTTATTAATACCTCGTTAACCTCAAAAGATCTTCATAGTCGAGGGAAAAAAATGAATTGAAAATCTCAATGAAGTCTCCAACATGAATTTGATGGGCAGTTCCAATTGCAGAAAAGTGCTAAAGTATTTCAATATGAATAGCCCATCTAAGCTGTTTGCAACTATTATGATTCTCATATACCTTTAAGCTTCAAGACTTCTTGTTTAATCCATTTTATAGCACTGATAGCAGCAGGGATCAGAGCCTGCGTTAGGTCGGATTGGTGGAACATTGCCGTTTTCTTTTGAAGTACAGTATCTAAAATAAGGAAGAAAATAATATTTGGAGCAGCATGATTTTAAAAATACCCCTAAATACTAACTAATACCTTGAATACATAATGCATTTTATCTGATGTACTAAATGAGCGTATATATGCTCATTGCATGTTCTACAGTCCAGCAGTGTTTGCATACCATTACTAGACTATATCTACACTAAATTTTGATATATCACAGTCTGAAATGTCCTATGACAGTATGAGTACCGTATGGACTATAGACTATATTTTGAAACATCAACTGTTTGTCTACAACTTCATTTCTCACCTCTCAATCATTTCCAATGCTACCTTTCTTTCCACTCCGGCATAACTTATCATTGCTTCCCAGGTTCTTGTCGACTCTATGAATTTAGATTTAGTCCAACCGACATTAGTAAAATTGATTAATTTCTTCTCTTTCACACAACCGTGCATTACAGAAACAGCCATTCATTTCTATTTCCAAATATGCTGTGGCCTATATAGTAGTATAAGTCTGCTGAATAGTCAAGAAGAGTCATTAAATTAATCATAAACATTTCATGCAAGCCAGAAAATAGGTATCGTTGTTTGTGACATATTATTCTAGGTCTAGCCTTCCTTGGAGTTACCGCACCGTACCTATTTAACAACGTCTTATGAGCTAGTGCTCAACTAAAATTGCTATTTATGGCAAGGATATACAACTGTTTAATATCTTACCTATACTTTTCAACACCTCCTTAGAATAACTGGACTAATATTACCGGTAACTGAAAAAAACTATGGAAAGGCTACTCAACGCAAAAGCGAGCAGTTGAATACATCTGATATTCATCCGACCACTGGGGATCCACCTACAGCTGACTAACTTGACTGTTACGTCGTGCAGAAGTCTGCGTTCATTGGCCCATGATACCGGAAAAGCAGAGAAAATAGGACAGATGGTAACACATATTTATTGTAGTAAAAGCGTCTTTTCTGTAAAACGTGCAACTTTTGGAAGTGGGAACAAGGCAATATTTGTTACTAAATTTCTAAGGAACATTTTAAAATCATTTTCAGGTAGTTACGGTACCTGATGTGCGCTACGAAACTGAAAGATAAATGGCCTCGGCTCGCGGCCTAAGAGAGCTATGCTCAAATATATGGACACGTAGCGCCACCCAGTGGTAATAATTTTGATGACGTCATAGCAACAAAAAAAGGAATGGCCTTCTGGAGAAAAATTTTATCTTCAACCACTGAAAATTTCAAAGCAATTGGTCCAGTATTCGAAGAGAAAAGCGATTTCTTCCAAACGTGTCAAAGAACAAGGACACTAAGAACAACAACAACATAATATTGAAACGATCGCTATGTCCACTACGTGTCCAATAAAAAAACTAACTTTGTGCATGGTTATAAATATTCCATGGCGTGGAAATAGTCATTGTTGTTTCACAAAGGCACTGGCAGCATTGATCTTTCGCTGTATTATAATTGCTCTTTGGAGATGATATGATACCTCAAAAATGTCGGTATCTCAGTCGTTTCTCAAACTGCATTCGAATGCGAATTAGAGCGTTTTTTCATGGATTTTTGCCGGAATTGACATAGTCTACCATATGACTTAGCGCAGGGGTCGGCAACCTACGGCCCGTGACGGTTTACTGAATTAGTCAAAACAGCTGTTTTGACGATCATATTCTTTACGTAACAGAATTTATTGTGAGACACGTGTAGACCCATAACAACCGAAGATATTTTGAACCCATTTTGTATTCGGGGTTTATTAGGGTATTTATGAACCTATATGGTATCTCAATGCCTTGCTTGTCATATGTGTATTGGTAATGACAACTTTCTACTTACTTTAACATTTTCTTAATCATCATAAAATGTTGATTATGTCATAAAAGAATTTTAAATATTTGATTCCTTTTGATTTTTTAGAGCGTCCTCGGAGAACATAAAACTTTTAACGAAAAGTGAAGACAAATCATCCAAAAGGAGGACGTATGGTCACCCTAGGGAACACGTACCAGTATCTGTTTGTTGTCGGTGTCGAAATGCCTCATATTTATTTATTTGCGTTTTGGCCTGTCTTTATATTTTGTATTTTCTTGCTTTATGTTAAAGAAGCAGAAATAACTATCTTTTTGGTTAAATATTTCCTGTAGTGGGCGAAATAGTGATGTATCAACAAACTTCGCTACAACGAAAACATTGCCTACGCTGAGGTCACAGGCAGCAATCACAAAACAAATATATGTTGCCATATTCTATAGCGCATATTTTTGGCATTGTTTGCTACTTTTCTGTTTTATGAGCTAATAACTATTCGTTCATTAATGGAAAAAAAAACGTTTTGATAATATTCCTTCAAAAGAGCAAATTTCTACTTGTGCAACAAACACAGTTGCATTTTTTAGCTTAAATACATAAACAATGAATCTTATACAAAGAAGTTAACATGGGATTGCTTCCTTATTTCTACGACCGAATAACTTTGTTTTATTTGTATATATTTTTTTTATTATTATTGTTGCGATGTCTGGTTTCTGGTCGACGAAGCTCTCTCATTTTTTTTTAATCAATTGATCACCGCGAAATGTGGCAACTGTGTTTCGTATTAGTTTGCAAAACAAACACAAAACAGATTGTCCGGACGTCCGTGACGCGTTAGGTTCTTCGCAGTATCCGCTTAGCTTACGAGTTTCAGCCAGTTCGACCTGTTAATCATTGGAACAATATGGAAGTTTTAACTCAAGCTCAACTCAAAAGACTGGAAAAACACAAATATAGTTCGCAAGGGACATCGCTCTTGGAGCCGTATTTTCAAGGTTGGTGTTTGCTGTTTTTAAGAACATTGGCTTCATTAAATCTGTAATTATATGGGTCTACATGTTTACGCGTGATTAGTCAGTTAGTGTTTTCCTGATAATTGTTTTTATAATTGCCTTAGCGCAGAATTTATCAGAATTCTTTTGTTATGTTTGTATGTGTCTTGATTGACCTTCAACCAGTCAACGGTCCCCAGTCTGTATTTCATGGCCTTTTTCAACGAGAAATCGGGTGTGCAATCAGAAATTCCCGTGTGGAGGAGGAGGAGGATTTACATATTTATCCCGGGGGAGAGGAAAGACGATACGGCGGCTTATTCATATGGCGAACCATGGCCTCTCGTCCGGTTACCATTCCAAGTCGGGTATCGTAAAACCGGCTAACTTCGGATGGTTTCATTATACTTCAATCAATATCTCTGCCGTTTGTTGTCCAATTCGCGTCAAATTTGGAATATATTACATTGATGCAATTCTCTGCACATGCATTTAATTTTCTCGTCGATCGGATCATTTTTCTATCTTAATTGTCTCATTTTTCACTACACCAGTAAATATCTAACTTCGGATGGGGAATCACCTCCATGCGTCACCGCAACTCGAGCGAAAATTGCGTGCGCGAAGATAAAACACGCTTTACGTCGTTGCGAAAATGCCAGATGTTCAATCCACGTCGCGAGTGGCGGTGATAATGATGACCGTAGGATTTCTGGTGCGGCACTTTCAAGTTGTTTTTATACTAAAATGTCTCGTTTTATTTTCTCTTATCGTAACTTTAGATCCGAATATTCACCGATCATAGCCGATAATGTTTGGATATCGTTTATATATTCCACATCGTATATAGTCGCACGATAAATATTATTGAGCATGCATATGACCGGATTCTTTACTAAATTGACCTATTAAAATGTCCGCCGTGCATAAATCACGACAAAACACCGATTTGGCAAAAATTACTTTAGTTAAATTCATTAAACGGAACTCACTTGCAAGTGTTGCAACAATGATTCTTGTTATTTATCGCTGATTATATATTTTTATATTTACGCAACATTTCTTGACTGCTTACAATTTTTCTATTTTAAACCATGCTGCCGTTCCAAATGGTGGAATTTGAATCGACAAATCGAACGAAAATATTCTTCGTTAATTGCCATTTCAATAAATTAAATTACATTTCCAACATTTGACGGCATGAAATTAAGATCCACAGAAAACTGTTAATGTGTATATTTTAGCCGATATTGATCCAATCGAACAAAATATCGCTGTCATTTTCAAATATACGCCAACTCGTCGCCGCCCGAATGTTTGGCGTCAAATCTGTAACGGCGACGCAACATGACGTCGTCTTCGAAGCGAGCGACGTCAGGGTGACGTCGGTTCAATGTTTGCGTCAAATTCTATTATTTTGATGTAAAAAGAATATTTGAATTTTAATTGTTTATCGAGTCTCCTGCGACATCTTGCGATCAGTCTAATTTTGTATATACATTGGTAACGCCCTCTATCGAATGACGGTGTTTTGACGAAGTAGCGGAGTTAGAATTCACGATTTAAGCCGCTCGAAAACGGAGTGTCAATTTTTTGCTAAACGTGACTTTTCAATCAAAAAATAAATAAAACTGCGCGATTGATCATGATAACAGATTTAGATATATAAGGACTCAGTATAGAACCTACCAGAAGCACAATATGACGCAATTTAGTCGAGATATAAACAATTGAAAATTTCATCCGAAGTTACAAGGCATCCGAAGTTAGCCGGTTTTACGGTATGGGATTAGATATATATTTTTTTGGAAGCATAGACTTGGTGGTGGATGAAGCCGTAACCGACCAGCGGTTACGTGAACCACCCAACGACGGCGAGGAGTCCAGCAATTCTCTTGCACATAACCATTCCTGCATGGGATTCGAACCTGCAAACCCACGCAAATTAATTAGAGGTGCGGTGGCGAGCATATTCCTAACGCTTAGCTCGTTGAGCCACATCGCCGCGCGTGCAAATAAGAATTTCTGGCGTGCAATTACCGGTATAGCTCACGGCGTGCAAAACAACTGCCCCCCCCCCCCCCTGCAACTGACTTTGACATTAGATAAAAAATACGTTAAATCGGAGCAAAAATGGACGTTTGACCTTTGACCCCAAACATTATTTCTACAGTTTGTCGCTAATTTTGAGAGTGTTTGTGCGACTTTGGATACTGGTACTGTTCAGTACATTCGCTTAAAATTATTGGATAAAAAACAAGTTGAACCAGAGCAAAATGGACATACTTTGTCAATAATTTTGGGAGTGTATTTTCGTAGAATTAATGGATAAAAAATATGTCAAATTAGGGCAAAATGGACGTTTGACCTTTGACCCCCGAGAGGCCGCGGTTCGCCATATAATTAAGCCATCTTATCGACTTTCCTCTCCCCCGGGATAAATACGTAAATCCTATCCTAACAGTTGAACAAAGCATCTTTTTCTTTTCTAACTGAAACTTCCATAACGCACAATGGATTACGATACGATTACGATATCATAATAAGTTTTTGAAAATGAATTTTTTCTTTTGTCCACAGTTTTCTGGCGATGGTTAGTTGAACGATTTCCATTATGGATTGCTCCCAACACAATCACGATAGCGGGATTAATTGTCAATATGGCATCTGCTTTTATGATCATGTTTTATTCTCCCACTGGGACAGAAACGGTGAGTTGGAAATCAACAATACAAAAAAAATGGTTTTGTGGTCTGCATACTGCCCACCGAAGCATTTGCTTGAATTTTTGATACTCCCGAAGTATGTGAACCAAGATGGCATACAGTGCCAGGTTATGGTTAGGCCATAATTTATTTTAGTTCTGTTACGAGTTCGGGAACTAGCTAAGTGACTTCCATAGTATTTGTACCTGAAATTATCGTCTAACCCTAACTTAGTACACATATTACGTTCCGGTGTCTGCCATCTTGGTTCACATACTACAGGAGTACCGACTTTTCTTTTCTGCTCTTGGAAAAAGTTTTGAAAATTTTTTACAACTACATACTAAATAGCCTATAGATTTTTCAAACTTCATATAAATACCTAAACCAGTGGTTCTCAAAAGTGGGGCACGAAGCTAGTTAGAATAAAACATACCTTTGCCTCACTATCTGTTATTTGTAGTTTATTGTTAGCTGGATGTTTTTGAGATGGGGAGTTGGACTTGACAAATCTAAATGCTTTAAAAGTTTGAGATTCACTGATCTAAACTGTTATTTAAATGAAACTAAATTGTAAAAATAATAATAATTTTTTCATCGTCAGCCACCATTAAATTTGCTGCTATCATAACAAATGGGAATAATAACTATGACATCACTATGAATATCATGAACGCACTATGAACGCTATCGTTTCAATTGGACATAAAATGGACCTACGGATCGTTTATTTATTTTGTTGTTGTTATCTTCTTTTTAGTATTTCTTTTCTTCTTCTTGTGGTAAAATCGCATGAACTACTGGACCAATTGCTTAGAAATTTTCAGTGGTAGTTAAAGATTTTATTTTTGTGCTAGGAAGCCATTACTTTATTCTATTTCAAAAATACCCATGGGATTCGTTTTTTTGTGTGTGTCATCAAGATTAAAAATTGTGCTCTATGTGGCAGTTCTGCTTGGTGTAAGTATCTTCTGCTCAGCTGCGATGGGCTACTGTGACAAATTGCATACCCGTATCATATTGTGCCCTTATATTTGAGCATCGTTCTCTTGTTTTATTTACGGGTAGTCGGCGCACAGTGTTGTTAATGGTTACAGACGTTAATAGTATGTTAGTATTTAGCGATTGACTTATTATTTTAATATTTAATGTTAGACTTTTCTCTTCGACTTCTTACTCTTGTATGACCTAATGTTAGACTTGTTCATAGGCGTCGCTGCCTGATAACCAATACTGGTTCATCGCGTCCCTTTTCACCTTGAAATTCAATTCTTTGTTTTTCACCTCATTTTGTATGTACAAAGTCTATATGGTGAAAAATTAAATTACTGTGATAATAACCCAGTAATAAATTACTGATTACGGTTATATTCCCCATCTAGGCGCCATCTTGGATCTACCTCATCAATGCAATAGGATTATTCATTTATCAAGCATTGGATGCCATAGATGGGAAGCAAGCCAGAAGAACTAACACTTCTTCCCCACTCGGAGAATTATTTGATCACGGATGCGACTCAATATCAACAGGTACTATTTAAAAATGTTTGTTTTGTGAGTGAAATGAGTGCAGAATTGACTGAATTTTTTACCGAATGGGTCGCACATGGCTTGGCGAGTGGCACATCGTGCTAAGCGATAGGAATACGCTCGCCTCTGCATCTCTGATTACCCTGCACAGGCTTGTAGGTTCAAATCCCATGCAGAGATAGTTATGTGCAAGAGACTTCTCCCCGTCGTAGGGCTGTTCATGTTACACTGGTCAGTCACGGCTACTTCCACTATCAAGTCCATGCTTCCGGAAACAAATAACTAACTAATCCCATACCCGACCTTGACTGGTAACCCAATGAGAAGCTGTGGTTCACCATATGGTTTAGCCCTCTAAATGGCTTTCCTGTCCCCAGGATAAGAATGGAAATCCTATCTTAGCTTGTGTTGGCAGATAGGGATTAAAATTAGTTGTCATAAACCATATAAGAACGATAACTGAGTCAACTATTCCTTATTCCGGCTATTGCCAAATATTCATGAAAGCCTGGCCCTGGTAAGCTGAACAACCCATTAACTGGAACATTGTTTTCCCGAATCGGCGAAACCGAAGATTCATAAATCACTTTATCTAATGGTAGCGGTTTGAACCGATATCGTGCAGGGAGGGGTGCTTCATTGCACCGATGTTTTTAAAAAGAATAACACAAATAATGACTGGCACTACAATGTCAATGTAATAAGGTGATTGTCAGACAGTTTGACTTCCAATCTTATCCTACCTTGTGTTCGATAACTGGGTCATCTAGCAATTCCCAAATATTCAAGAATGCCTCATAAGTCTTATAAGGTGACAATTAGGTGGCATTTGACCTGATAGGCTGGTTTATATTTAGCATACATGACTCTATATGTGGCGTTGGCATAACATTGATTGATCGGCCTTTTCAATAAAAGGACAATTCGAATTGATTTAATATTAATCATGTCCAATATATCAAATTCTTAATTGTAGGAATAATATGGTATAGTTTTGTTCGAAAAATTGTGATTTCAATCAACTGAAGTGTCATAGCATGAAAAAAGTGCTTTTACTTAATTCCTCAAAACTGTAGAAAATACGATAACATCTCTGATTTTACAACTCTGATTTAAAAAACCAATAAACCACTTTATTCAATAAATACAGCAGAACTATATTAGCTTAATTCAAGTTTTTAAGGATTTTAGAAAATTGTGTATTTGTTCAGTTTGAACAGTCAAAGACACTTTCAAAAATTGAAACTAAAGCAGGTAGAGCAGGATAGTCCAAGGTATTCGGCTCCGGGGGCCACAAAATTATTTTTTTGCTTTGTGTCGCGGGCCACAATAGTGTCAAGAGTAGCTTAATGAGAGATGTAATACAAAACAAACACTTTTATAGTGGAAACAGAGTTAAAACATGCAAAAACCACCAAAAACGTACAATTTTTCTGGTTAACTTTTTGGCGAAACAACACTAAATGCGATTTTTTGACAACTCTCCGAATGCGACACAAGCCACAGATAATGAAGCCACTGTTTGGACCACCCTGAGTTGGAGCTTTCCAGCCTGCACCAAAAATGGTCGCTGGTCCATAATGACAGAAGATCCAAAAAGTCCATTTCGGAAACATGTGATTTAAGCTATTTTAGTTTACTGCTGCCATTTTGTTTCCATGTGGTCCTATTACTTCACCATTTTATCATGTTTCACATTTGTTTCAGTTGTTGTGGCCATCGCAACAGCGTGTTCTCTTCTACTTGGAAAGTCGCCTGATATGATGTTTGCATTGGTCATGAGTTCCATCGTTTTATTCTACTGTGGACACTGGGTGTCGTATGTAACAGGAACGCTACATTTCGGAAAGTATGTGCAATAAATCAACAAATTTTTTCAGTTTGTTGTTTCTGATTTAAATGTTTATTTTACCTAACTGCAGAGAACATTTATTTGAAATAACTGCAGGAGACATTGCTATATGGTTGTAAATTCAAAATTCATATAATGAGTGCAGCCAAAAAGACTGATATATGATAGGCAACTGGCAGTTATTTCACAAACATATTTGTTACTCTCAGTGAATATTGGTATGGCATAGAATTTGCTATTCGGAATAGATTTTAAAAATATTTTTGAATACGCTGCAGTGGATTTGATCCATTAGGCCTTCTCCTATATGGATGATTTTTCAAAAATAAATTCAAAATTGAATTATTAAACCAGTAGTGTTATAGCTAGCTTCTGTAGCTTGTCACATGATTATTAGTTTCTGATATTTGTGACAGCCACACAGACCTAATTCTTAATAACGCAGATCAATAGTAGAATTTAATGTGATTGATAAGTTGCACTTTAAATATTAGCAATTGATAAGGCTTCTTTAAATGTAGTAGCTCATATTGATTATGCAATAACTTCAAATTTTGATGATGCATTGATTTTAATTTTTGCAAGGTACTGCGTGCTGAATTAGAGCACGTTTCTAATGACATTTGAAACGTTCAAAAATAGAAATTAATTGTGAAATGATTCAGCGCAATATATGATGGAGAAATTAATAAAATATGGCAAATATCATAAAGACTAACTTTAAAATTTCCCTCTAACTTCTGAATATATATCTGACACAGGTAACATAGCTCAAATATTTCCTGAAATCCAAAGTTTTCTATGCCAATTAAAATTATAACTAATTTCGATTGTATTCAAATGTCGAATACAAAATATATATCTAACACAGGTAACATAGCTCAAATATTTCCTGAAATCCAAAATTTTCTCTGCCAATTAAAATTATAACTAATTTCGATTGTATTCGAATGTCGACATTTAGAACATCCCTTTACTTTAGGAGTTCCCAGACTTTTAGTGTTTATAAAATAAATTTATAAAAATAAAAAAAAAAACACTGGTACCGATTCGTGTTCCTGAGTAAATTGAAATAACTTTATTTGACGACTCTGTTAAATTTGCTGTCAAATTTTATTAATGGCGTTATTGCTTTTTTGAAAAGTTACAAATTTAACCAATTTGGAATTTTAATAATTGTTCACAGAGCCTCTAGGGTTCTCTTACAGAGCCCTGGGAAGCACTCTGAGAATCTATGCTCTATTTTAGGACTTCCAAATCTTTTAACGAGAATATCGGTCGGAGATCGATCGAAACTGCGGTTTCGAATCATGACTCTATAGTGACACCGCGTATCCCATTACTAATTAATTAATAACTCGCTAATTATATAACATAATTCATCCAAAATCAATATGCTTCTGGTCCCAGATATGATGAATGCACATGCACAAATTTGGAGCAGATTCAACCTCGCCTTCTTGAGATATCGTGTTCATCTAACAGACAGACGAATACTTCTTAAGTAATAAGCTCCTTCCAGTCTGTTAAAATTTTCCACGACTCCTGTTTATTTTTGAAATGCTAAACAGTTTGATGAAAATGCGCCCTTTCTCTGATCCCATGTATTCTCTCAAAATCGTGAGATTTATGTTTTTCACTAGTTTCAATAATAATCATTTTTATCAAACAAGCCCTGTAGCTGATTAGATCATAGCTCATTCCATTATGCTAACCACCAAACCCTCAAGAAATTAAAGAAACAAATTTGTTTTTCTTATTTCAGAATGGACGTCACAGAAGTACAAGTTGCAACAATGACTCTTTTCACTGTGTCAGGAATATGGGGCCCAGACATATGGGACATCAGGGTAGGTCCTTTGCAGTGGCGGCATTCGGGAGGTTTGCGTGAATCGTTCTTGGCGTGTCATTTGGTGTTATAAATTAGGACTTGTTGAGGTCGGGGTTTCCCAACCAAGAATGAATTTTATTAATGTTTTGGAGCAGCGTTTCTCATACTATGTTCTGGGGAACACTGCTGTTCTGCGCGTTTTTCGGAGTGCTACGTGGAACAGCTAACGTAATTGTGATTACATTTTTTATTTTCTAAATACTGTGATACTTATTTTACTATATTACTTATTCAGACACACTTGATAATTTAAAACTGTACAAAAGGAATGCGCAACTTGCACTTAATATTATTTAATAAGAATCTATTCAAAATTGAAACGAATAAAGTTGTTTTATGCATAGGGGAGGGAGGAATAAACAGTTCCAAGATAGGGAAAGGAAGGGGATTTAACAGGAATGGTTGGGAACCGCTGTTTTATAATAAAGTTTTTACTTGTGTGTGTTGTTATGAATATTCTTACTTGTTTAGTATTATTAAACACGAAGTGGACTCAGGGATCGTTTTGTTAATATCTGTGAAGGCCAGAACGAAATATGGTTCGATGAATTCCCTTTGCAATTTTAAAACTTTATGGACACCCTCCTATGTATTTGAGGTCTCTTTGTAATACTTATTACTGATAGGTATTTGTCTGTCTGTCTGTCTGTCTGTTAGATGCACGCGATATCTCACGAAAGCGAGATTGAATCTGCTCCAGATTTTGCATGTGCATTCATCATATCTCGGACCAGAAGCCTATTGATTTTGGGCGAATTATGTCGTATAATTAGTGAGTTATTAATTGAAGAGATGGGACACAAGGTGTCACTATGGAGTAGGAGCGCTGTTTTGGGGATCCCCTAACTTTCGATTGATAAGTCTTCGGTCTCTGACCGATATTCCCGTTCACTAATTTATTATGAACTAATCATTTATAAACATTCATTTATGATTCATTTAATAATTACTTATTCATAATCACATGCTAGATAAAAACTGTACAAAAGCTAGAGTGCGAGTTGTACATATGACTAGTTAATAATGATGCATATCGCTGATTTAATTTATATGAATAATTCTTTTTTCAGCTCCCTCTAGCGGTAGTGAATATGCCGTTGAAAGCTCTACCTCTATTTTTTGTCTTTGGTGGATGTGCGTTCACGATGGCACGGTTCGCTGGTCTCATTGTCAAGGGAGGATGTGGCCCTAATGGATCCTCAGTGGCGGTAAGTTGTTACTGTTTAAAGTTTATGAGATTTTTCTTCGAAAATGGAGGAGAATTGTTACAAGGTATGTCCGAAATGGGTCAAATATTCGAATTAATTACAAATTAATTATTACTTATCGATCTTAAGATCAGTAAGTATGTTGATAGGTATTTGTCTGTTTGTCTGTTAGATACACGAGATATCTCACGAAAGCGAGGTTGAATCTGCTCCAAATTTTGCATGTGCATTCTTCATATCTCGGATCAGAAGCCTATTGATTTTGGATAAATTATGTCGTATAATTAGCGAGGTATTAATTAATTAATGATGTGACACGCGGTGTTGCTATTGAGTCAAAGCGAAGGATACACGCCGCTAGATCGATAAGTCGGCGGTCTCTGATCGTTATCTCGTATTTCACATTTTTAAGTTAGAAAGAACTTGCGATATCTGGTAACAAACAACATAGAGAAAACAATGACCTTCATACTTATGTCGTTTTGATTACGTTCAACATGAAAATATAGTGATTTTCATAATTTTCTCTAAATTCAAAGTGTACTGGAAATCTTATTTTAGAAAATATTTTATCAGAATGTATTCAGAATTGGGAAATTGTTGGTTGGGCCATTCCTGCCAAGAGCATTGCCAGGCGGGTCGGACTGCATCATTTACAAAGTGAATAGGGCATTTTCCGGTATCATACCTAGAAATATTTCATAGTTCGAAAGCTATTTAGACCTTTAAGACTACGACCTTTAAGACTACTAGCTGTTACAGTCTAACTTGGCAATCACAAATTTCAGAACATCCCATTTAAAATTTCTGTCTACGGCCTTGATCCCTGCGTATTTGAAATATTGATTTTGGATTGTTTAACAAAGCCTATGTTATCAAAATCTTCATTTTTTGCAGGGCACTAGTGTTCTTTCACCTTTTTTCAACATGGCGATTGTTTTTATATTTGCTTTAACGATAGCAAAGAAGTCGGACATCATGTTGTTTGAAAACCATCCTGTGCTATATCTTCTATTCTTCGGAGTTGTCGGTGGAAAAGTCACAAATCGATTAGTGGTAAGTGTTATGGTGTCTATGAGTTTTTAGGTTTGAAGATGACCAGAATCAAATATTCACCAAATCTTGTTTTCAAATCAAATTTCACATAGATCTGACCAAACTTATGACACTTAGTTACTCTCTCTATCTCTCTCACACTTAGTGGCCTTCTGATTTTATTTGCTTTTTTCTTATCGATCTTGATCGGTAAGTAAGTTGATAGGTATTTGTAAAGACACTTTCGTATGTTACGCGATATCTCGCGAAAGCGAGGTTGAATCTGCTCCAAGGTTTGCATGTGCATTCATAATATTTCGGACCAGAAGCCTATTGATTTTGGATGAATTATGTGGTATAATTAGTGAGTTATTAATTAATTAGTGATGGGACACGCGGTGTTGCTATTGAGTCAGAGTTATCTAGTTTATTACTTTCAATTACTGATATTTTGTCTATACCTTTTTGTCTATATATTTGATCCTTGCTCAAATGCGGTGGTTACACAATCATATCAAATTTTTCAATTAACTCTATTTGTAACGGCTTATCCTTTGTTTAGGTTGCTCACATGACAAGCAGCGAATTACCACTTTTGGATACCTCGCTGTTGGGTCCTTTGCTATTGTTCTTGAACCAATATTTCAACAGTCTTGTAAACGAGTATTTTCTTTTATGGATTTGTATGGTAAGTGTCTTAATATATTATATATGGATGAGGGTGTCTGGAGGACTTAGGGGATTAGATTTGGGGAAATCTTATATCCACCACCTCACCCAAGATATAGATTTATGGCGGTACACTACACACAGTAACTCAGAAGTAAAGAAGACTCATCTCTGAGCAAAGTTACTCACTCAGAAGTGAGGAAGACTCATCTCTGAGCAAAGTTACTCACTCAGAGGTAAAGAAGACTCATCGCTGAGCAAAGTTACGGGCACTCACTTAGAAGTAAAGGAGACTCATCTATGAGCAAAGTTATGGGCACTCACTTAGAAGTAAAGGAGACTCATCTCTGAGCAAAGTTACAGGCACTCACTCAGAAATAAAGGAGACTCATCTCTGAGCAAAGTTACAGGCACTCACTAAGAAGTAAAGGAGACTCATCTATGAGCGAAGTTACAGGCACTCACTCAGAAGTAAAGGAGACTCATCTCTGAGCGAAGTTGCGGGCACTCACTCAGAAGTGAAAGAGACACATCTCTGAGCAAAGTTACGGGCACTCACTCAGAAGTGAAGGCGACACATCTCTGAGCAAAGTTACGCACACTCACTCAGAAGTGAAGGAGACTCATCTCTGAGCAAAGTTACAGGCACTCACTAAGAAGTAAAGGAGACTCATCTATGAGCGAAGTTACAGGCACTCACTCAGAAGTAAAGGAGACTCATCTCTGAGCGAAGTTGCGGGCACTCACTCAGAAGTGAAAGAGACACATCTCTGAGCAAAGTTACGGGCACTCACTCAGAAGTGAAGGCGACACATCTCTGAGCAAAGTTACGGGCACTCACTCAGAAGTGAAAGAGACACATCTCTGAGCAAAGTTACGGGCACTCACTCAGAAGTGAAAGAGACTCATCTCTGAGCAAAGTTACGGGCACTCACTCAGAAGTGAAAGAGACACATCTCTGAGCAAAGTTACGGGCACTCACTCAGAAGTGAAGGCGACACATCTCTGAGCAAAGTTACGCACACTCAGAAGTGAAGGAGACTTCTGATACTTGAAACTTCATTGAATAAAGTCTAAAGTTGCACATTTAGCACTGATTTCAAGTCGTTTGAATAATTTTTAGGATTTTTAATAGATTTCACAATTTATTCAAGTTCAATTTTTTCAATTCAGATTCACGCCACGGTTGATCTAGTCCAGTACCTTGCTTATACATACAGACAGATTGCGCAACACCTCGGAATCTCAATTTTTTCGATTACACCCCCAGCGTCCTCTCCAAAACAGGACGGTAACGGAGTAAAACATAAATAAGACTTTTTATCGGAGAAATTTTTTGTTTTATTGATTCCATGGAGAGATTTTATTGAAATTTAGAGAATTTTTTTGTGTTTGTCAAATTTTTGTTTCTGTTAGCAAAACGTCTTCAATGAATGGACTAATTATCCCAATTTTGGACTGCTGTTGTATTTTGATATTGATGAAAAAACATTTATAAACTAATATGACTTCACAATACAGAAGCACGATGTCATATATGATTTCATAATGTACTTTGTGAGTGAAGGGCAATTTTTTTTGGAAAAACTTGATATGACAGTATAAAAATTTATTCTATAATTAGAGATTTGTGATATCATAATACCATTTGAGATGCGGTAGAAAGATTTAAAAAAAAAAGGAAAATTTTCATAATTGGGACGAAATGGAATTTGTAAAAAAAACGAATTTCGTGACAATACAAAACCAGGAACAATCAGAAAGTGGATTATGAGTGGGGGGTCATTTCAGTCTCCCCGCCTTCCCCTCCCCAAAAAAATCCTAGTGCCGTCAGTCATTGCTTGAAAGTGTATTGCATGAATTGTAACAGATAGTGGGTAGGGTCAGAGGTCGAGAAATGCTGGTTTCCAAGCGACTTGAGTATCTAAATAGAGTTTCAAGATACTAAAATTGCTATGTGTCATACAGAAAAATTATTTTTTATATTTCAAAAGAGGGGGGGGGGGGGTCCGACCCTAAATAAAAAAAATTCGAAACTTGTGTTGATTCCCAATTTGAAATGCTCTAATTAAATTTATTTGTGTATGTTTTGGTGAGAGATTTTAATCTGTTTATTTTGGTTTGAGCAGAAGAACTTCACATTTGAAAGATTTTTCAGAAATGCTCTTAAACGAACGTGGCACCCTCTTTTGAAAGCTTTAGTTATAGATTTTATGTATGTTTTGATGATTATACTCAATAAAGGGAGATTCGAGGGTCAGAACTCTTCCTATTGAAATGTGTAAAAGGGGATTTTTTGTACCATACATGGCAATTTTTCATAGTTTGAAATGGTCTTTAAACCTATGAGACTTTTAAAAAATGTATATCAGTCGCCAGCTACACCTGGCTAACTTGGCAAAAAGAAATTTCAGAATTTGTCCAACTCCAACTTTTAGCAATTTCATGTGACCTCATAGTCAATGTATTTGGTTTCCATAGCAATTACACTTTTTGTGTAGGATTTAAATTTTCTGATTTTTTTAATTAAAATTATGTTGTTTTAAAGAAATTGTTACTCTTTTAATGATTCTTTAAATTTTTTGATTTGGTGAATGTGTGTTATATTAATCGAAAAATATGTATGTGATATGGTGGACGTAATTTTAATTTAGAGTCATGCTTCAGAGATTATAGTCTGTTTTGTGGCGCCACCAAAAGGAGGATTTCAAAACCCGTGCACCAGACCATCGAAATATGTACTTAGTCTCGTCCAATCCAAACTATCACCATTTGTTTTAGTCTTGTAATCGGGGTACTTGGTTTCCATGGCAATTGCACTTTTTGTGTGTGATTCAAATTTTTAGATATTTCAAGTTTAAAATTTTGTTGATTTAAAATAAATGTTACCCTTTTAAAAATACTCTTGCAGAAAAATGTTTCAACAAACATGTTACTCTTCTAATGATTCTTAAATTTAATGATTCTATTTTATTTGGTGAATGTGTGTGATAATAAGAAAGATATGTGATTTGTTGGACATAATTTTTATTCTATGTCACGCTTCAGTGATTACAGTCTGCTATGTGGCACCATCTAATGGAGGATTTAAGAACCAGTGCGACAAACCATCTAAATCAGTTGTTCCAAAACTGCAGGCCAGTCACGACTTTCGTAACTATTTAATATTGCCCGCCAAACTTGAGGGAAATAGTTTAACACTTCATGTTTTTTTCCATTTACGTTCTAGAAACCACCAGTTGTTACGTCATTATCACAGTTTAAGCGTGTGTATATTCGTAACAATTCATTTATACCGGTATCATAATTATACGTACTGGTGCCAGACCATAGCAGACGCCTCCATTTCTCTGCCCACAAATATCTTTCCACATTAATTTTGGTCAATTTACTTTGGGAACTGATCTAAATATAAAGTTAGTCTCGTCCAGCCCAAACTATTTCCAGCTACTATAAAGTCTTATAATCAGGGTACTTGGTTTCCATGGCAATTGCACTCTTTGTGTGTGATTCAAATTTTTGATTTTTTTATGTTTAAAATTATGTTATTTTAAGAAAATGTTACTCTTCTAATAATTCCTTCGCAAAAGAATTTTATATATTTTTTTGATTTGGTGAATATTATGTGTAAACGAGGGTTTCAACTAAACAGTGTGAAATATGAAAAAGCTGTTTTGGGTGAATATCGCCAGATATAGCATGTCTTTCTTGTATTATTTTCAAATAAAAAATGGTTCTCTAAATTTCAATGCTATTTTGTCTTAAAATCCTCCTAATACTTGGTTTGTTGAGCAAATATTGATAATGAGTCATGATTTGGTGATTACAGTCTGATATTCGCAGAATTTGGTTCCGCAGTGAGCATGTGGCGCCATCTAATGGTATATTTAGTATTACTAGTATTCCCACTATTTGTGTTTTTTTGATATCTTGCATTTAGAGTTGCGCCACCAAATGGGGAGGGAGAGTTACCGGTCCCCCCACTTTCATTTCCTACAGGGGTTTGCCAAATTGCGCACCTCCCAAGTTATTTTCGATCCTGTCGTGATGCATTGACTCCTTTTCTAAAAAATTCATTTTTCTGCGGTCAAATTGAAAAAAAATTATTAAAATCAACTCTGAGAAAGATACATGACAAGCTTGCCACATTATGATCATTTGTGTTACTTATTCTGTTTTAATTTACATTTTAATTTTGCCCTGTGCTGCCTTAAATTATTGGTTTTATTGATTACAGCTTCAATAGATAACTATTGACCAACAATTCCATCCTTTGTGTGCTTTTGTGATCATGTCCATGCATCCGAAACGAATTGGTATACCGTGTTTCACCGAAAATAATAGTATGAGAGGTCGTTTTCCATCTTAAAGGTCTTCGAAAATAATGTAAAATACTTTTTTATATTTTATTGGCTCTTCATCTACCCAGAATATAAAAATCCTTATTTCACACTAAAATGGGGTGATACATATTTGTGTAGAATAGTGACGTAAAAATTGAATTTATTTTTCCAATTTTTGTTTTTTCTTAAAATCTTACCGCTATCTCATGGTGAGATGGGCCGATATGTTTTGCTTTGCAGAGTTACTGAATTATAAATCACATTCTTTTCGCTCCCTGGGATATGAATGTGAAAAGCTCTTTTATTTTGGAACAACATATATTATTTTTAACGTCGCAAATTAGTGAGGTAAATTTTTTTTTTAATTTTTGTGATTTTATCCCCCAGGCAATGTTTTTATTTAGTCCATCCATCGTTATTTTATTCAGAAATATTATTTTAGCCGTTATAATTTTTTTTGGTGTTTTATTAAATTAGGCGAAATATGTTCTATATTTTTTCTGTGTGTAACCAATTTTAGAACTTCTGCCAATTCTGCAAGTAAATTACATTATTTAATTCTGTCTGTTGTTTGGGGGTAGGTTATCTTGATTCACAGGCGTAGTCAGCTACACTCTCCTAAACCAGGGGTCACCAAACTTTTTTGACCGCGGGCCGGGTATGACTCAAACTGTGTTGAAACGGGCCGGACAAATATTTTTGTCAATGCAATAGGCCTACAATAAATTCACAAAAGTTGGGAAATCCATTCAATTTGTTAACGATATATATTCTACATTTCTGAAGACTTGAATATTAAATTCTATCTATATCGCAGGATATAGATCGCAAACATCCTAGGAAAACAAATATACAAGATTTTCATATCTTGACAACTATCCTGAGTTTAGCTGTTATCAAAACGTTGCAGTCATGAATTAGGAATGTTACAAAATTCGCCTTTTTGCGCCAAAAAATGTCCGCATCACGTCTGCTAAGTACCGTTACGCCGTGTCGGAATACCGCTCATAAAAACGACTGCTTGCTGTAGCATGGAATTCCATAAAATTTTGACATAATTTAGATAAAATAAACGACTATTATCTGGTATTTGATTTTTATCATTAGCGAATAAATTTCCCATCATTCAAAGCTTTCAAAAATTACGCTCAAGTAATACTTAGTGCAAATTAATGGTATTGTCTATAGACACCAATAAAATTTATGTGGACGTGTGTATTTCCTTCCTAACTTGATAGTTGATACTTACCAATTTACCACTGACAAACTAACATGCACAACTCCAGCGTTTATTTGCCACGATCTTTCGGCGGTGTAAAATACCATTGCCAGAATAAAATCCAGAAATAGAAGAAAGAAAGCTAAACAGTTTCGTCGAAAGCACGCGTCACGAGTGTATCTTTCGCAGAAAACGTTGCATACTGGTAGAAAATTTTAACCTATTTTGTCACTGCTATTTCTAGACTAATTTTTCATCACTACTATTAAAACTGTAACTCCTAAGGAGGCAAATGATGACTGACTTAATTTGTTTGATCCATACTTAAATTTCCCAAACGGTTTAGGGAACATTTGTATTTTTTGCTACAATTTCTGCATTGCTGTTGTTTCTGATCTGATGAAGAAGACATACTCCTGGTACCGAATACATATATTGCAATTGTATATTTACAAATACAAAGAACAGTTCCAAGTCATGACTGATAAGTCACATAAAATCAAAGTTTCACTGCAAGCCCGAGTTCGTTAATTACTTGTCCATCGTTATCCTTTTTTTTTCTCCCAACGAATGGTCGCTTTTATGCTGGTTTTGGTATCCTTAGGGCATGACGCGTTATCGTCATCGTACCTTACAGGACGTCTAATTGTTACGTATTTTATGACTGAGAGATTGCTTCTAATTTTAAGAATAGTATGACTTTAAGTCTAAAACACGTAACTTAACCAAAAGCAGCAAAATTACCCAATATCCTATACTATGCACCTACTTTAGCTGCGGAGCAGTGGCCAAGCTTGGGCGTGCAGTGAAAATATATACACAAAATTCATAAAAACATAAGAAAGTTGAAATTATGATTATGAGACAGAATGTGTGTGTGTTATACAGTGTATGGAAAGAAAAAGATTTGGCGTTGGTTTATTTTATAATTTAGGTGACAGATTACTACCAATGCTTAGCTTTAATACACTTCGTTTCACATTGATAAATTTTGAAGCGCTGAAAAAAATAAAAAAATACGCGTGTTGCGTTGATGAGCCTTTCCGGCTATAATTGTGATGAGCCTCTTTGGGCGTTTAAAAATAAAAAATGATGAGAATTTCACTTGCGTTTATGCAAATGCATCCCGAAGCGCTGATTCGAAATACGATCGTATTTGTAATCATATTTTGAAAAAAATGTTAAAGTCAACGTAAAGTATATTTAAAGAAAACGAATGCTAATATCTGCCAAAATCGAATAAATTAAATATTTTTGAGTAAACCTCGTTGGGTTTAATACCAAATATAGAACGCCTTAAAGATTAGAAAGAAGGAAACGTGAAATACCTGTGAAGAAGAAGAATGTCTGTCCATTTTGTAAACGAAATTGAAATATTTATAGTACAATATAAAATTCTACAATCGCGCGGTTTCTTGAAGTTGGTTCGCGGGCGTTTCTTTCTGAAGTTCTTTCGTTTCATATCTTTCTCATTTGTTTTTGTAGTCAAGAGTTCCGACTAGTTTTTGATTTTACGGTTTTTTTCTGGTGTAAAACAGTTCATATAGTATGAATGTTTTACACACATATTTTTATAACAGTCCATATAATGTGAATCTCATACACCTTTTTAATCTAACAGTCTTTTTCTTTTTGTCAGAGTCTTTGGTATTTTGCTTGTAATTCCTTGATTTTTCATACTGTCTGAATCTTGGTTTGGTTGTTGTGTTTCATTTTCCTTGATCTTTTTATCCTCGGCTTGCTTGTGGAGTTGATGTCTTTTGGGGGTCACCTTTAGTTCCAACGGTTGCTTTTCAGACTCCATCTCAGAAAGGGGCTGGTTCGTCTGTCGGGTCACCATTTTTAGGGAACATTTGTATTTTTTGCTACAATTTCTGCATTGCTGTTGTTTCTGATCTGATGAAGAAGACATACTCCTGGTACCGAATACATATATTGCAATTGTATATTTACAAATACAAAGAACAGTTCCAAGACATGACTGATAAGTCACATAAAATCAAAGTTTCACTGCAAGCCCGAGTTCGTTAATTACTTGTCCATCGTTATCCTTTTTTTTTTCTCCCAACGAATGGTCGCTTTTATGCTGGTTTTGGTATCCTTAGGGCATGACGCGTTATCGTCATCGTACCTTACAGGACGTCTAATTGTTACGTATTTTATGACTGAGAGATTGCTTCTAATTTTAAGAATAGTATGACTTTAAGTCTAAAACACGTAACTTAACCAAAAGCAGCAAAATTACCCAATATCCTATAACGGTTCCATTACATTTGAACCCACGTACATTTGAACCCATGACAATTGCACCTGTATGCTATTGCACCTATGGAATTTTTTTTGTTTTTCGGATAGTTGAACCCATACTAACCCCAAACCCATGGGTTTTAGCACCCGCATATAGATTGAACCCGTGGATATACACATGGGTTCAAATGTACGTGGGTTCAAATGTACGGTCACCTTCCCAAACACAACCTAAAACTAACGAAGTATTGTTTACAACCACGACTGAAAATCTGTCAGGGTGACAAAAGTGTCTGAGCGAATGCGAAAAGGGGTATTATCACGTCACTCTTTTGCATCTTGCTGATTGGCCAATTTTACGAAATAAACAAGGAAGACGATGCTCGGGAAAATTTCCTTTGGAAAAATATTTCGCCATTTTTGCGTGTTATCGCGGGCCGGATAAAATGACGCAGCGGGCCGGATCCGGCCCGCGGGCCGTAGTTTGGTGACCCCTGTCCTAAACCACCACCCCTTCAAAGCTTTCAATGTTCCGCTTTTTCCGGTACTTCTGTATTGTGTAAACCAATATGGCGGACACCAGAACGTGGTATGTGTACCAGGTTATGGTTATGTAAGGTTACCATATTTTTGTGACCTCAAAGCGGGACGCCTCCAAAGACCATAGCTGTGATTTTTTAAACTTCAAATTTATCGATTTTACATTTGGGGCCTACATTTAAAATCATCCAGGCTGTCTTCATTGGCCATATTGTCATCGAGAGTTCGTGCGCTGTCTGACTAAATATCGGCTTAAGAAATGAATTTACGTTAACGTTAAGCACCATTTTGGCTTACAAATTGTGGCAATTAAAACAACGAAACAGTCAAAATCACGCAGCCACGTTCAGTAAGTAGGCTACCGGTGTCGAGAACATGCTAATTGGTAATGTTCGTGTATTATTTTGACTGGCTGAGCGCCGAAGCGGGACTTTTGGCTGACACGCCGGGACAAGACGTTGAAAAGTGGGAATGTCCCGCCTAAATCGGGACGTATAGTAAGCTTAGAGTTAGGCCATAATCACAGGTACACAGAATACTACAGAAGTCACCTGGCTGGATAGACTCGTCCTAGAACTAAAATAAGAAAATATTGGCCTAACCTGGTACACATTTAATGTTCCCGTGTCCGCCATCTTGGTATACATACTTTTTCAGTAATATTTCGCGCTATTTATGAGCGATTCACTCATACGTATACCGACTTTTGACTTACTATCAATCCTTCTAAATCTAAATTATCCAACCTGGAAAATCGACAGCCAAGTGTACGGAGAGCTTCTTCAAGATGTCGTTAGATATTTGTGGGCGCATGTACCTGACCTTGTTCCAAGCGGAATGCGCGATTAAGCTTCGTCTTACAAAAATACAACTTTGGTCTTGTTACAGTCAACATTAAGGTCTGTTGGAGAATGTTTATATGTATTCAGGGGAAAGGTAAGCTAATGATACAATTGAATCTAATGGCAAAGACTGGGAATTTAATCCTGAACAGTTAAGTGGTAACTGAAAGCTGTTACTTTTGTTTTTGTTAGACACAAAGTGGGCCTATGGATCGTTTTATCTCTAAGGCTAATATTAGTCCGAAGCAGTGAGTCCCGCTTTTCCATATACCCCGTGCAAATTATCAAATTCAATTACTTTCCCAAATTATAATCTTTTTTAGGTCAGCGTGCTTCGTACACGCAAGGCTCGTCAAGTAAAGTCGCTTTAATTAAATCTTTTGTACGAAGCCTCCGCTAATGCTCAAAATAAATAAAAATATTTTTTATCCAGTTAGGGTTAGTAATGCAGATTGCGTTGGAAATTCAAATTTTCAAAACAGTTTTAACCCTAACCGGGTACAAAAAATGTAGTAAAGGCTCTATTTTATTATCCATTTCTCTATCCAAATTCGGCCATGCGCTTGTATGATACAATAATTAAGACCTGTCCATATATTTGAGTATTGCTATCATATTTTCTCTACATTGTAAAAGTCGTTGTTTTCGCGCGTTATCTATTATATATTATTACTTCATAATCTCTTAGTTATCGGTAAAGCATCGTCTCATGTTTTTAATGCTTCAGGACACTTTTAAAAAATTCGTAAAACAAACGTGGTATTTTATTGACAGTATTGACACTTCATTTTCCCTATAAAAATAAATTCACAAAAAAATTAATTTTTTTCATTATAAATTTTCTTTTTAATTTCCATGTCTATAAAATGAGCAAACTACTACTTTATTAACAAAACGCGGTTACAGTGAAATGCTCTTTAACTTAACGAGTTTGTCTAAAGACGAAGTGCTGTAATAAATAGAGTATATTTTTGTATCGTTTGCAGATGCCAGCCTTATAGTTGAGTCATTGGATCAGAATTGTATAAGTCAGTATCAGTTTTTCTAAACTTTGGACCTGTTGACACGGTTATTTGAGCTCTTAAAGTTAGTACAGTTAATGTAAAAAATATTAGATTGAGAATTCACTTAGTGGTCGATATTAGGGTTGGCCATTTTCGAATACCCAGTGATTTCAGAATCAAGTCGAATATTTTTTCGTATCGATTCTCGAATACTTAGAATATATATATGTAATTGTATTTGACTTTCTTATGATAATGGGCCTTTAGACACAAATATTATTAAAAAACATGGAATACATCACTCAGACATTTCGCTGAGGGTTCACTTACTATAAGAAACATGATTCGCCAACAACTCACTCGGAAAAAAAGCGTTATCTGTCAGAATTACATTTTAAAATATGGCTTCAATAGAAAATCTAAAGCTTTGCTTCCACTTTTGGCAAACAAAAATAGGACAAGATGGCGTCGATTCGAAATTTGAGCTTAAACCGATTTAAACAATTTATTAATCGAATCGAATATTCAATTCAAAATACCCAACCCTTATCGGCAGGGACATACACTAATAAATATGAAATACAGTTAGGTTCAGCATAGTTTTTAAAATTAGGAAATCCGTTGTAAGAAAGTTCATTACAAAAGAGAATCATTTCCTAAAATTAGGGAATCTCATCACCGCATATAAGTCAATATAAATTCGACGAGTTTAAATTATCTTTTAGATCAAGGGTGGACAAATTACGGCCCGCGGGCCGGATTCGGCCCACTCAGGTGTTTCAACCGGCCCACTCGTGTCTGCTGGAATTAAAACTATAGTTTTTATGGACATCGATTTCCGTTTGAAATTCGATAAAAATAACGTCATAATTTTGCGTAATACGCATACGGATCCACCTGCACAAAGGCATAGAGAGCAAGGAAAGGTAGTTAGTTTCACGCAACCTCAACTGTTCGTTATAATTTCCCCGATTGCTACTTTGTGCTTCTTCTTATTATTATATAAACATTGGCCTAGCTGTTGGACTAACTTTTGTAAATAAACTGTTTTTCATTCATAGTTTTTTATATCAAGTTCTAAGCCTCCTGCCCAGTAACCAAGTCTTTTATATAAATATGTTATTGGCCGACCCAGAAAAGTAATTGCCCACCTCTGTATTAGATGATGTAAAGCGTTTTATGTTACATAACGACATACATACATTTTCTGAAATGAGGGAACCTGTTGTTAGTGAGTTGGTTACAGAAGAGAACCCGTTCTAAAATTTAAAACTGCTAATGCTGAACTGCTTATAACCAAACATAGAGTATAAAATTCTTCAGCAATGCGTTTTGTAGTTTTCGTGGCGTGGTTTTCTGAAACGAGGGAATCTTTGTTAGCGGGTCCAATACAAAAAGAAACCCCTGTTTTTAAGATTTGGATCTGCTTATAAGTTATAATTGAACGTATATTTTAACAGTCTTTAACAATGCGCTTTGTAGTTTATATTATTGTGTTGTTAATATCTTTGAAATGGACGAGGATTGATGGGTGCACACATCCTCCAGGTAAGCGAACGCAGGGTGACCATTATGCTCTCCAGCTTTTCATTTTAGGGGGGTGTGGGTGTTCCTATGTTTAGGGGGGTATTTTTTCATCACAAATAAAACTGTTTATAACTTATAAAAATGTCTTATTTAATTTGACGGCGCTCCTGAAGTATGTGCACCAAGATGCCGCACATCCTGAACTCTAGCCGGGTAGCCTACACATACTATGTTCAGGTTGGGCGCCATCTTGGTGCACATACTTCTGGAGGTTCAATTTAACTGACTATCTGCACTGGTATATACACCACTCTCTTGGATATTCATATACAATTTCTGTTAGGTAACAAATTCATGTCGGGCAATCTTCCGAACTATATAAAGGTTATAGGAAAATTTGCCGCAGGAAGTTTTGCCGTAGGAAATCTCTCCGTAAGAAATTTCGCCACATAGGAAAAATCGCTGTATGAAAAATTGCCTTAATTAAAAAAGATTCGTTATATAAGAGCATACCCTAACCCAGAGATGGGCAACTTCTTTCGTCGGCGGGCCAGATGTGGGAAAATGAAGTCCTCGGTGGGCTGGATTATTACAGAAAAATACTTCGGTATCCAATCTTTCCCAAATGTTTGACACTCTGTCAACTTTACGTTTCTTGGGATATTCCATAGTTAATGAAACTTAATATAAAATCTAATTTCTAAATTTCCAGTCATAGTCAAGTTTATTTTTTCCATCCAGTAAAAAAAGTTAACATGCAGAATTAAGACGAATAAATAAGAATCTAATTTAGAATCTAAATATTAATATAACTCATACAAGTAGTGGGGAATGTTTACACCGCTGGACCTTATATTGTTTGTTTGCTAACGCAATTGTTTGTTCACCAAGGCAATTGTTTATTTCACCAGCTCGCACTGACAGTGCGGTAAGAGTAGAGCGATCGGCAATTTTCAGGAATGATGCGTCGGACCACATTACAGAGTGTGGTTGGATACAGTCAGCGGGCCGGTCAAAATCTCGTCGCGGGCCGTATGTTGCCCACCCATGCCCTAACCCTATAAACCTAACTATTTGTATCACAAATACTTGTTTCACAGCAAAATGCTCTTGCGACTTTTCCCACGCGGCGAAAATTTCCTACGGCGAATTTTCCGGTCACGCTATACAAGAAACAATCCTTCTTTCGAGATAACAAACTGACTCTCTGGCTCCCGACCGCAAGTTGAAGATAATTTTGAAACCACCTTCATCTGCAACCTTTGAAAAATCAAATTTTAATAACAAAAAATCAGCGTATGAAAAAAGCCTTTTTGGAAGAAAAATGAATCATTTCTATTAGATTTTTAAATATCCGTTTAAATCTCTCTGTCAACCCAATGGTTATATAACATTTTCTCAATTTGGAGTATGATTGGCACCATTAAAAGTCTTATACTTCGACTCTGAACTCCCCTCCCCCCCCCAAAAAAAAATCCTGGAAAACTAATATACTTCTTAATTATTACAGACGAATTGTACACAACCCAATTTGTGAGCGTTGAGACAGAGTTTCAGCTGAACAGATCAACCAGCGACTCATTGGAAGGTTCTACTTTATATATGATTTACGAATGGGATGTCGTACAGAGGAGACGTAAGTTTGGACGTTCTTTTAGCACGTAATGTCTTTGTACAAGGATTTTGACAAACGGTCACTGAATTAGGCGTTGCCTACATATTGGTTTGAGCGCGAAACTCCTAAAAACATTTGGCCTGCTTTAATTAACCAGGGGTTACGTGAATTGGCAACGGGTTTGCAGGTTCGAATCCCTTGGGGAATAAGTATGTGCAAGTAGATTGCTAGAGTGCTTGTTCTCTTAGAGTCGTTCTCGTACAGCTGTTCATTTACAGCAGGGGTCGGCAATCTTTTGTCGCTCGCGGGCCAAGGTCGCAAGTCATTGGCGGGCCGCACATAATTTTAGAATGTTAAAAATCGAATGGATGACTGATGAATCACATTTTATCACACAGATCAGGAGTTGAATTTTAAGCAATTGTGAATTACATACTTGTTACGTTATAATATAATTTAGTCTACACGTAAATTCTTTTGCAGAAAGAATATAAATGACAAAACAGCTATAATTTGTTACTATAATTCAGTGGAGCGTCGCGGGCCGGATTATATTGCTCCGCGGGCTGGATCCGACCCGCGGGCCGTAGGTTGCCGATCCCTGATTTACATATTTTCCCACCGTCAGATCCATACATCTCATACAGAAATTGGTGCTCTCATAGTATTCGTACCAAGATGGCGCACAACCTGAACATAGTATGTGTACCAGGTTAGGGTTAGCAGGTTGTGCGCCATCTTGGTACGAATACTACGGGAACGCCCTTGAATAGCAAGACTTTTGAATAACTTAGGATAGTCATCTTAATTCCAACTACAGCATTCCAGCATTATACGCATACTTTCGAATTGCATAGTATGGTTTTGGCCAATAAGATAAACAACGGTTTAGTGCGCCTTACAAATTGTTAAATGGGACCTCCAGAAGTATGTGCACCAAGATGGCGCACAACCTGAACATAGTAGTTGTACCAGGTTATGGTTCAGGTTGTGCGCCATCTTGGTGCACATACTTCGGGAGCGCCGCCAAATGTACTCAAAATGAAATAAATAAATGTTTACGCTCTATATCTGTCTACAGGATTCGTCTACGACGGCTTCCTATACAAATTCTTGGATAGAGACTCGAAAGAAATGGAGGACGGGGATACTTTCAGGGATTTATTCAAAATAGGTGAGCTCTTCCTTATGTGTGACTTATTGCGACTTGACAAAGAAGTGTACTTATCGGTGGCACTTTTAACTACGGCACTTCAACTAATAAACAAATGGCGGAGCTCCCGAAGTACGTGCACCAAGATGGCGCACAGCCTGAACATAGTATGTGTACAGGGTTAGGGTTCAGGTTGTGCGCCATATTGATGCACAAACTTAGGAAGCGCTTAAATTGCTTTAAAATTTGCAATAATTAAAGACAGAAAAATCTCCGTCTTTTCTGTTTTGAGAATTTTGAAAAAACGTGCCATTATCTAACAGTTTAGTCTTTTCTGTCAAGAGCTGTCCTAATACTTCAACTACTTCAGCTGGGCTGATGAATTATATATATCGCGCAAAAATGTTCTGTCTGCTCCGATTTGAGTCTTATTCGTAGTGAATGGGACTATTTGAATATATTTAAAAAAAAATCTGTGGTTATAGTTATTATAAAAATAGTGGGTTTAGTCCTGTTAACCTCGCCGACACTTTTTTAATCTGTTTTCTCCGATTCTTTTCACCTTCGGTTAGGATAAAAAAAATTGAATTTGAAAAGATGTGTCTTCCACTCCAATTTTCACAATATGGGTAAATTGAAACTGCGAGGTCCGGGACAACACGATGATCCCGAAAAAAGGCAATATATTTCAAAGAGAACATAAATTAAGCACAGAGCGTCCTAGATTGCTGAAACTTTTGGGTACCCTATAGACCAGTGTTCTTCAACCTTTTTTTATCGGGGTATATATTTTACAATTTTCCAAGAACTTTGTATACCTTACAAATACCAATGTTCTTAAATAAACATTAGATTTTGGTCAAATATTGTATTGCAATATCATCATGCAATCTAATAGGCTATAGTGTCCGCAAGTTATAAGTTTGACTGACGGTTTTAGCGTCAACGGGAATGATGTTCAACGTAAATCGAACGGAATGCATGGCAGCCGAAATCACCAACCCGAACGCGTACCTTTTATCAGTTGTATACCCTTCTTATGGTCCGGTATACACTTGGGTATACCGTATACCCGGTTGAAGAGCCCTTCTCTAGACAAATAAAAGTGTTGAATATATTTTCTTCATTTTCGTAAAGATATTTAATAAATTTATAGGTTCTGTAATTTTTAGTTCACCCTATAGTAGCTAGTAGCAAACTACAACGATAGAAAAAAAAAATTCACTTATTTTATTCTTATTTTCAGATTACGACCCAAATGCGTGAGTATATATAACTTTCAATCCACATGTATATTTTAAATTTTTGTTTGGAACGAAAACACTGGTGCTGCCCGAAAAAAAATCACATGGCGGGGCATTAACTTGCTAGAAAAATGTGGCTTTTCTTGTACTCTGTAACCCGCAGGTCGGGAATTGGCGAATGGGTTATGTGCACTGCAGCTGACTAGCGTTGTACTGTGCGTTTTGAGAGTTATGTATCAAATTGATATAGGGGGCTTAATATCTGCTGTTCAATTCAATTTCATGAAATTTTCACTTTTCTCCGCATCAATAGACGAATATTTTTTTTAATCTTTCTTTTCTTGAATACTTGACGATGAAAGAAGTAAAAGCTATTTCTTTTACTATTTTTGTGATTCCTACAGAAAATCAAAAATTTTGCAGATCATTGCAACAAACTTGGTTTTATCACACCATACCGTACCAGTACAAATTGTCGATGTATTTGTGTATTGCTATTTTATTCATTCATTTTTCTTTTCCATTGTCAGTTGCGTGGGACTAAACAGCACACTCTGGTATAAAAAAGACGAAGATACGGATTCTGTCCAATGCACGATACCTTGCAAAGAGTATTTCCCACCGGTTTGCAATTATAGCAAAGTTTGCAGTTATTTACGAGAAGGATATAAGATACTTAGACCGGTAAGTTTTGTTCTGTCAATCAATAACTCAATCGTTTATTTGTCATTACAAAACAAGTTCAAATAAAACTGATGCAATGAATAACTATAAAGTACTAATTATGTTATTTGCGTGACCGGAGTCGCAAAGGAAATAAGAAGGTCTTCAAGCAGCGACACTTGAAGCGCTGTTACAGGTTGGAATAAAAAGTAAGACGTTAAGGATTTGTTTCTCGAGGGAGCGGAGGCGCAGTTCTTACCACTTCATGACTCCTGCCACGAACGTACCGCGGCGCCTCTTGTTATGGTTTTATGGCGCTGACCTTACGTAAGAAGTTACTATTATTAGGAAAAAGCGGATTTTTTTTCAGTTCGGGATGTCCAATTTATTATTTCTGTATTTTTATTTGAAGGAGGGGGGGGGGGGGCATGGAATTTAAACCGGATATGTGTTATCTGTGATGCTCCCAGAGTTAAGTTTACCGCTTTAACCGCAATGCTTTCATATCTTTCCAAAAATATAAAATTGGTTGAATAAAACGGCTTATAAGCCTTCCTCCATCTCCCTCATAAGTACTAAATTTAATTACTATATTTGCACTAATCGCATTCACCTAATAACAGGACACAAAAAGACTTGAACTGCCAGTGCAATACGGACGGATATATGATTTGAGTTTGATGGTTTACAGAAATTGGCACACGGGTGAGACCTATGGATCTTTTCAGTACTTTCTATACGACGTTTTTATATTCCTTTCACTCAGTACAAGGCTGTGTTAGGTAGCCTGTGTTAGCCATCTTATTTTCTGGCGCTTCCAAATAACAGTATAGCTTTTTACTTACCAGTAGATATTAGTAGCTTGTGTGGTCCTTCTTCGCAGTCTTTGCAAAATATTATTTCGAAAAATATCTTCTCTCCCCAACATAACTGGTTGAACTGATTTATTTATCTCTAGAGAAATTAAAGTTACTCTTTTGTTGGTGTTAGCCTTCCCCTTCCTGTTTTTGTGCATCAAAAGTGTCATTCGCGGTCATAAAAATATGTTCGCCGGGCGCAGTTTACCGACAACTGCTTCGAAGAGTGACCAAAAAAACAGCATCCAGGTCATTTGAAACATTCTCCAGAAAGAACATAACTTTTGTACAAAGCGTCCTAGGTTATTGAAACATTTTGGTACCATCATACACAAACTGAAGTTTAAGTGTTGATTATTATTTTTTCATTTGGGAGGCGGGGGGGGGGGGGGGGGTGTTTTTTTGGGTTAACCTGTATATTAAAGCATCTTCTCTATTTTTTTTTCAGGTGAAAACTACTTCTTGGGAGGCCGAGAACTCGTTCCGTATTGCAAACATGAGCTGATAATTAGTCAAAATATCTCAAATGATGAAGCTTACGATTTTTGCGGAGACAAAATGAATTTTCCAGGTAAGAGAATAGAATGATCGCCGCTCTAACTGCCTTGGCATCGCAGGTTAGTGACCTCGCTCGGCGGTTTGTCGCATCGTGCTGAGCGTTAAGAATACACTTGCCATCGCACCTCTGATTACCCTGCGTGGGTTCATGGTTCGAATCCCGTGAGAATGAATTAGGTGCGAAAGGATTGCTGGTCTTTTCGCCGCTGTCGGTTATTGCTTCCTTTATCACCATTCGTCTGAGACAAACAACTGGCTAACTAACTACCCGACATGAAATGGTAACCGGACGAGAGGCCGTGGTTGGCCATATATGATTAGGCTTTTTTATCGGCTTTCCTCTTTCCGGAATAAATACAAAAATCCTAGTATTGAATAAAATATTTCCATATGACTATGGATGAGCGGTCTTATCGACTTTCCTTTCCCCGGGATTATTATGAAAATTTAGGGAATCTCATGGGTTCCGTTTTTGGGTCACACTATATCTAGTATGAAACGTACTATTTTTGATGATCGTTTGTTTAGAATCTGCTCGACTTTCCGGTCCTCCCGCTCATTTTGAAAAATACAAAGTGACACGTGACTTGGAAACCAATCGTGGGACTGTAACGTTTCGTTGGAAAGAACCATATGATATGTCACCAAACGCTACATTAGAAGGATTCCATCTCTATGTCGGTAACGGAAAAGTCCCCGTGAGAAATATTGTAAGTACACGCCAACAAGTACTTCTAGTGGGCGTAGCATATTGATTTTTGTGTATAACACTTTTACCTGTGACATCACAGTGACGTAATTTTCGGATGACGTAGTCAGGTGGGATTAGGAATGAAATATGCAAAACTTATAGAGCCAGGCCAACTAGAAACTCGATGAGCAATGAAAAGAGCATAGCATAAATCCGTCCGCGTATATCAGGGGCAACCTTTTGTCGCTCGCGGGCCAAAATCAAGGGTTGCACGTCTTGATGAACCGCACAAATTTTGTCGAGAATTAAAAACCGAACAGCGAACTCTTACCCAATCATTTAAATTTCCCTCTTGTATTGAAGGTTGCACACCCCGATTTGAAACAAAAAACAGTGACGGGCTCGCTGATATTATTGCGACATTCCAAAAATCACTGCGACCCCCGAATCCCGATAATATCTCTGTTCCAGACCAATGAATGGGAATGAAAAATCTATATTTTGAAGTTAGCAGTCCACCGAATCCCGGAGATGTTTGTCGAATAGATACTCTCGCAGTATGTGTACCAGGTTAGGGTTAGGCCATAATTTTATTCCGCTTTTCCTGTTTTTAAATCTATTACGTGTTCGGGGACTGTCTGTGTTAGCCAAGTGAATATCCCCCTGCTCATGGGTTTCTATTTCTTTACAAAACTTGATGTAAAGTAGGTGAACAAAATTAGCTACTTCCATATTGGTACACACACTTCTGGAGCGCCGTCGAATAACAATGCATGAAAATTAACACATATATTTGGGTAAAAACACGCACAAAAAAAACACTTTTTCAACTCATTGTTGCAGAAACCCAAAACACCAGGCCGGCGAAGCGATGATTATTATAACACCACTATAGAGGGCATCGAGTTTGGCAGGATCGCTTATATTCTAGTAAGTCCGATGCTGGATGAGCCCAACTGCACAAGAATGTGTGGAGGGTACGGATTTGGAGAAAAAGACTACTTCAAAGTTGAAGGTAATATTAAGCATATCTTAATTTTTTCATATTAAGCTTTTATACGCCACCCATTCCTAGAAGTCCATTTTCAAGTATCTATTGGTGTGTGGAAGGCTGCTTTTTGAAAATACTGCGGTTTTCCTTTTGAATTCTGCAATGCATACTTCGTACATAACAACCTGGGGTGGCGGGGGTGAGATTTAAACCAGTTATGTGTCATCCACATTACAATGTCAACACAGTTGGGCATGGGCAAACTACAACCTGCGGGCCAACTCCTCCCGTTGGGTAATTCAATATGGCCCGTCTGATGTTGCCGCAGCCAAATTGAAGCCGAATTTTGAATATTTAGCTAAAAAATAGCTCAAGGAATTTGTTGAGATTGCAATTAAATTTAGCTGTGGCACAAGGTTTATTGTCGTCCACTTTTGCTGTTGCAACACTGTGAATATTGTTCATAAAATGCAACTTTCCTCGTCACACTCACATGATCCGCCAGTCTAGGCAAAAATTTTTGGCCCCCGGCACAAGAACATTGCACACCCTACTTTAACCACCAACCAGGGCTATACACGGCTTGAAAGCATTGTCGCATCGTAAAAATTCCGGCTTCGTAAAAATTAAGCACTCCTCAAATACTGGTGATGTTTGTAAATAGTCGTGTTCAGGGTAAATAGTAAAAAAAAGTCTTAGAACCAAGCAGCATTCTCAAGTAAAGATAGCCCAGTTATTAGCGTGTTGACTTTCTTAAAGCAAGTTTAACCTTCAATCTTTAATCAGCCTGTTTTACGATTCATTCTAGATGTACTAATTCAGAAATAAACGAGACTCATATCTGGGTGAAGTTAGGGGTAATCACTGAGTAGTAGAGGAAACTAATTTCTAATTAACGTTCGGGCACTCATTCAAAAGTAACGGAGACGCATAACTGAGCAAAGTTACGGGCACTCACTCAGAAGTAAAGGAAACTCATCTCTGAGCAAAGTTACGGGCACTCAGAAGTAACGGTGACTCATTTCTGAGCAAAGTTACAGGCATTCACTCAGAAGTAAAGGAAACTCATCTCTGAGCAAAGTTACGGGCACTCAGAAGTAAAGGTGACTCATCTCTGAGCAAAGTTACAGGCACTCATCCAGAAGTAAACGAGACCCATCTCTGAGCGCAATAACCAGCGACCACCGTAATATCGAGAGCCACCTTAAATATTCAAAATTACTGTGTCGCTATGGAGCCAGTAAAAATTGGAGCAATGTATTTTAGACCATCTTGGGTAACTTTTGATTCGTTTCCAGATATCAATGGCTGTGCTCATGGCATCACGTTGGAGGGATATTGCGACGACAAAGCAAAGTGCATCGACCTTCCAAGTAACAGTTCGGCACCTGCTAACTGTACTTGTCCTGAGGGTGAGTGTCGACCAGTGGTTTTCAATCTGGATTCAGTTTCATCCAAGGTCCCGCAAGTTTCAGTTCAAATTCGAGATTATCTGCGTTGTATAAATATACATATATAGAAAAGCAAACCTAATTAATTAATAGTGGCAAAACAAAATGATCTTTGAAGTGTAGCCAGTTTGGCGCTCCTGAAGTATGCGAACCAAGATCGCGGCCACCGGAACGTAGTATGTGAACCAGGTTAGAGTTAGGCCATAATTTTAGGTACAAATACTACGTGAGTCACTTGGCTAGTCCCCAAACTCAAAATAGAACTAAAATTTGGAAAATTGGAAAAAAAATTATGGCCCAACCATAACCTGGTACACATACTACGTTCCGGTGTTCGTCATCTTGGTTTGCATACTTCAGGAGTACCGCAAGTTGAATAATAGCGTCAATTCTGATATTTGATAATATTCAAACAACATAGTTCAATGGGTTCATTTCGTGTCGAATAATATAGACTCTACTTTTCGAATTGAAACTAGCGGAATTTTTGGATTGACAGAACCCTAGAGTGGTACCCCAGCTGAACACCACTGAGCGAATCACTTTCTTTCAGGTTATGGCGGGAACGGAATTTCAACCAAATTTGAAAATGGTACCGGTTGCTATGACAACTATGACGCATGTTCATTAAGTAATGAAAATCATACATGTGATCATGATGCTCTGTGCTTTGATTGGCCTCCTCCATATAGGAATGCCTCGTGCCGGTGCCCGTGAGTATAAGCCTTATTTTCACAAGATACTGAATTAACATAATCTTCTGGATTTGTTGTGGTGTCGGGAATCTGACTCGTGGACGACACGGTAACGCGCCGGATTTACTTATGAATACATCTTTAGCGCCAAAAAGTTCATCTGAAATATACCGGAGTCGACTCAGCTGGCGACCAAATGTTCCTCCCCAAACACACCCTGCTTTATATTTTTTCAATTTTCTTTCAGTGCCAGATTTTTCTCCCTAATTCATTTAATTTAGAGGAAAATTGCGCAGACAAACAATTTTACGACGTTTATTTAGGCTTTTTTTTTGTACAATTTTTCATATGTTGAAAGGGCGCTTCAGAAGTGTGTGTACCAATATGGTCTATGGAGGTAAATAATTTTGTTCACCTACGTTACATCAAGCTGTGTAAAGGGACTGAAACGTATAAGTAGGGAATATATTCACTTGGCAGACAGTCTCCTAACTCGTAACAGAACTAAAACAAGTAAAATCGGAATAAAATTGTGGCCTAACCCTAACCTGGTAATCAGTGCTTCCTCTTCTGCCCTTTTCCTGCGTTTCTGTGCGCCACGGAGAGGTTTCGCTTTCGACACCTTCGAAAGTTTGCCGGTGCGATCAAACCACAAGACGCCGAAAATCGACGACTCCCTCCCTCCCGAAAATCGACGACTTAAAATTCTAACCACTTGGACCCCTTTGCGCTGTGGGCCCTCCCGCGACCGCGGGGGTTGCAGGGGTGGATGCTACGCCACTGCTTGTAATCATAACACGGAAGTACCGCTAAAAGCACTCTAACTCTTCTGTTTCGGCATTTACAAAATTTTTACACCCTCGGTGGGCGGTTGACATGGGGTTTGAACTCCATATATGTATGTTACAATGCCAACACGGTAAAAGTCAAATGACCGTATCCCTACATATCAGCCTTGCTTCTTCGTTTCAGAACATTCTACATCGGTGATGGTTACCGTTCTGGAACTGGTTGTTCTCATCGTAACCTAATTATCGGTCTAGCTGTAGGAATTCCATTGCTGGTGATCCTACTTGTCCTCATAGGATGCATTCTATGGAGATCGAAACGAACTCCGAAACCAAGGTGAAATGTTGTTGATATTTTGTAATTTGATACTCTTAGCAAGTTTTATAGTTTATCGAAAAAAGCTGCAAGTTTAAACGTGAGAAAAAAAATAAAGCACTGATAGAAGAGACACAATCAACCGCAACTATACAGCGTGTATATAAAAATTTTAAAAATCGCGAAGGGAATTTATCGATAACCTATATATTGTTTCTGCCCACACAGATGTATTAAAAGAAGTAAAAATACTTGAACAATTCACGATTAAAAAACAACAAACCTGGTTAAGATATACTGAGAACTGAATTCATAACAAAATTGAAATTGTAAATGAACTTTGAACTATGAAATTCATACAAATTTGCTGTCAGCAAGGTTCATATTCCCCTATGAAAAGTGCAATAAGTGCTGATAGAAAAAAAATCTTCTTTTCTTCTTTTCAGAAGCAACAGATTCCACGACGAAGACTTGTGATATCGATGGATGAGTATATGGGACACACACACACGGGGCAGAGAAATAGTTTTATCTCCGTGAATAGTTAATATTTATTGCAATTTTTATGATAATTCGCAGGACAGCGATGCTCAAATATATGGACACGAAAATAAACTAGTACTGTTATCTAATCTTTCGCATAACCGGTACGATACGGTAGTCATCCCGACTTCAGGTGACCACCAGGACACAACAATCGTGTACACAAACGCGAAACCGCCATAAGATGCGCACTAGTTAATTTTGATGACGTCATCACACAAAAAACTATCAGGAAAAAAAAAACTCACGCGCACTTACATGAAAAATATTGCTGTCTTCAAATAATACTCAATTTTGTGATCGTTGTTATGTATTTTAGGCTTTTTAAAGTTTGTAAACATGCATGCCTAAAGTCAATAACATTTACGGCTACTGCTATGAACACACCTTTTCAAATATTCATATTTTCGTTAAGTACAACACAATTCTGGTTATTTTCGGGACGCATTTAGCAAAACGCGTTTTGATTTGTGAATAGCTGGCTTAAGGGAAGGAAATTCTGCTACTCTTTTTTTCTGCTTTTTAGTAATTTGCCCCAAATTTTTGTTGGAATTAAAATAAATTATCATTCTTCGAATAAATAATTATTATACGTAATGAATTTTAGAGTTTATTGTGCATAAAAACGGAATTTCTGTATTAAAGTTTTGCGCATTTCCTCGCCCATAGTATGTTGAAAGTATTCGCTCATACCTGCAGAGTAAGCTTCTTGTTGTCGTTGGGGTGATTGTTGTTGTAAGGTCAAAATCGCTCTTTAGTGAATCTTTGACGCTTTACACAAAAGTTATGCACTTTAGGGAATATTTTCCAAATGGCCTAGGTCACGAGTGGGCAAATTACGGCCCGCGGGCCACGGCCCACCGTAGAGTTTCCGACCCACTTGAGTCAGCTGAAACTACGACTTTGGTTTTTATGAATATAAATTTCCTTCCAAAATATGGATGAAAACAACGTCATAATGACCCCGATTGTTATATCATGATTCTTGTTATTATATGAACTATATGTAGCTTATCTGTTGGACTAGCTGTTGTAGCTAAAGTGTTTTTCATTAAAAGTTTTTCATATTGAGTTCTGAGTCTTCGGCTCAGTAACCAAGTCTATTGTCTGTAACTGGCCCACTCAGGAGAACAATTGCCCGCCACTGGTTCAAGTTTTGCTTTCCTGGGCCGCCCTATACTTCGTCTGACGCCTTAAACAAAAACAAGTTCGCTGGCTATCATGACATTCTACAAAATTCTTGTTGAGTACTATTTAAGCAGCTGCTTAATTTAATTTCTCTTTAAATCGACGTGAGTGTCAACAATAATATTTTCTAGTACTACTAGATAATGAAATATCAGTTTTTGAAGAGAAGTTTGGGTAAGCGCGAGTGCAAGATTCCCGAAACCGAGAGGAACTCCTCCAAATAGAAGAATTTTACTCTTTCAGAAAATAGATCTTATTTTGTATTTGCGTGCAGTTTTACTAATATTTACTAATTCGGTAGAATTACAATTATTATTTAATGTACACATGACAAGCTATTCAATTTCCCGATTAGGCGTACCAGCAGCAAATGATCCACTTATGATTGACCACAAACGCAGTCGGTGCGTAGTGGAGGCTGTAGAGAGTTTCCTAAGAGACAAAGAGTGCGTGAAATAAGCTGGTAACCACTGTTCTTGTATAGTACAGATAAAAAGAAATAAACGCATATATAGGAAAAACTCGCCGTTTATTTTGAATAGAAAACTGAACAAATAAAAACTACACGAACATCAAAATACACAAAAAAAGTGTTCGTGGGTGGCCTGCATTGCAAGGCTAACTACTGTAATATGGTACAGAAGCGTCTAAGATTCAGTTGTCATATATGCGTCACTCACTGATAAGTTCATTTCGGTCTTTTATTGTTACAGTTGTCAGAATTACATACTATGCAAAACAGTATTAACTGTGTTCAGTTCATATATGTGCTACCATTCATCATAGTGTATGGTCCCGCCAAATTTTATTTTCATCATTTACTGATGACGTCATGTTTACAAAGTTCTGGTTACATATTATACAAAACAATATTAACTGTGTTCAGTTCATATGTGCTACCATTCATTACAGTATATGGCCCCGCCAAGATCTCGCTCGAAATTTCAGAGCCATTTTGGCGGGAAATGTCATCGCCCGTATTATTTTGGCGTATTTTCTTGCCTCTAGTTTTACGTCATCGCTTGTTGCAGAAAATATCAAAATATAATGTAACATAATATAAAAGCGGCGTCACACTGTTCTATCAGTTTCAAGTGTCACACACATCATTCACTGATGACGTCATGTTTACAAAGTTCTGGTTACATAATATACAAAACAATATTAACTGTGTTCAGTTCATATGTGCTACCATTCATTACAGTATATGACCCCGCCAAGATCTCGCTCGGAATTTCAGAGCCATTTTGGCGGGAAATGTCATCGCCCGTATTATTTTGGCGTATTTTCTTGCATCTCGTTTTACGTCATCGCTTGTTGCAGAAAATATCAAAATATAATGTAACATAATATAAAAGCGGCGTCACACTGTTCTATCAGTTCCATGGGTCAAATACGTCATTCACTTATGACGTCAAGTTTACAGTGTTCGGGTTACATATTATACAAAATAGTATTCATTGTCTTCAGTTCATATGTGCTACCATTCGTATGTGATCCCGCCAAATTCTCGCCCGGAATTTCAAAGCAATTTTAGCGGGAGAAGTCAACCCCTGTAACAGTTTGGCTGGAATTTTCCTCTGCATTTTATTATATCTCGTTTCAAATATTCGCTGATAGCAGTAAACATCAAAATATAATGTTTCATGGTATAGAAGCGTTCTCAAACTGTTAAATCAATTCTATGTGTCACATACGTCATTTCCTGATGACATCATTTTTTCAGTGTTCGGGTCACATATTATACAGAACATTATTAACTGTGTTCAGTTCATATGTGCTACCATTCATTACAGTATATGGTCCTGCCAAATTCTCTCCCGGAATTTCAGAGCCATTTTGGCGGGAAATGTCATCTTCCGCAGCATTTTGGCGGGAATTTTCTTCTGCGTTTTTATAAACTTTGTTTGGGGTCGTTGATTGCAAATTAGCTTCGCTGTGTATAATATCTTGGTTTCGACCATATTGCATACGCATTGGGGTTTCGTATCTTTGTTCTTCTTGGGGTTTCATGTTGGGGTTTCTGAGTGGGAGCATGGGACCAATTTCAGCATATGTTTCGTCAATTTGTTGGGAATGTATGTTGGTGATAATATTGTTGTTGCATTTTCGAGAATCAGTTCCGGATCCGGATTTCTTTTGAAGTTGTTGGAGTTTGATTGACTCCTGTTCAACGCGCTGTTGGTTGATCCTTAAAAATTAATTTGAATTGAAACATCGGTCAAGATTTTAGAACGGCGAAATGGCCGAGCGCAGTGTTCGGCAAATTGTGGGTCGGGGCACAATCGTAAGCCATCGAGCATTTTCTAGTAAGCCTCTAATAATTTCAATTATGACAATAATAAAGGGCGCTCTCGAAGTATGTACACCAAGATGGCGCACAACCCTAACCTGGTACACATACTATGTTCAGGTTGTGTGCCATCTTGGTACACATACTTCTGAAGGTCCCAAAAAAGATCGATAAATCCAACATTACATAAAAATATTTTGCCAAATGTTTTTTTGTACATATTTCGAACGATCATACATTACGTTCATTTCATCTAAACAGACTAATTGCTCAAGTTTATTACGGGGTTGAATTTAATTTTTTTTAACTCAAGCAGAGTTATAACATGTAACAAAATTTTTATTAAATATGTAGATTCGTTAGTATTATAATGATATATATGACTAATATGGCGTTTGTATAACGCGACCATACGTAGCATACAATGCGTGATTTGACTTCCGGCTTCCTGCTTAGAAATGAACCCATGACCTACATTATGTGGTACTACGTGTTTACCACAAATGATCGTCATGTTAGGCTTCTCGAGTTAACGCTTTGTAAATTTTGAATGTTAATGAAATGATTTGAATGAACTTTTTGGCTGTGATGACCAAATGCTGGAATGGAAAACTACCGACTAAAAGTGAAAGCCCCAATATTTTCAATTACATATTAAAACTTTGGGTGTCGCTGCTCGATATTTATCTTGGGTTCCTCGCGTCTTCCCTTCTCCAGTTAAACTGTGAGTTTACCTTTTTCTCGGTGTTAATGTATGATAGAGTTGTCTCTGAGCAGACAAGTTACGGGCAGCAACTAAAAGTCAAGAATGGTACATAACGTGTATTCATAAGTAAACGAGATATATGAGTGTCTATTGAATTGCCCGGAGATACTAATACCATAAAGAATTATATCGTGGTATTGTGCGCTAGGAAATACCAATTGATTCGTCACTTGAAGCAGTTCGTGTCACTGCGATGGGAGAACAGCTATGTTGGTAGATAATTCCACATAAATTTGTTACACAAAATAACAAACCGGGCCTTCGAAACTGATATTCGAAATTTTTATTACAGCTTTTGCGAGACTAAGATTTTTCTCGGTGCTGTAAATGGGCCACAAGCGAATAAAGGTTGTGAACTCTTGCTTTAAGCTTCTTAGAATGTTACTATTCTAATATTTATTTTCGAATTTTTCATGCGTCATTTTGTTTTAGCTCGTTTGTTTGGAGAAAAAAAGCCTTACCACATATATTTTTATCGATAACTTCAGCCAGGTTATCCGTATCCCCTTTGTACTTTTAATGAGTTTTTAGGCCTTTTGCTACAAAATAGTTCCGGTACACGCAGGGGCATATCACATTTTTTCCACTGCCCGGGGCTAGTTTCTGATAATGGTGCTCTTTTATAAGTAACTTCAAAAATAATTCGCGGGATTAACAAATTATAGATGTTGTTATACATCAGAATGAATAAAATTGAAGGTCAAGTAAGAGTGAAATGTTTATATTAGTAATTAAATCACACATCGGGAAAAACATGTGTAACTATGCGAACTCTTAAATCGGTTGCCCCTTTCAACGAGCTGTCCCGGTGCTGGGGCCCTCCCCCCTAGGCCCTGGGTACACGAGACAACTGATTTAATTAGGGTTGCCACATTATGATTTTTCACTCACCTGATCCCACAAAACAACAGCAACAGCACAGTCAATGCAAAGAACACCGAAGCCAGAATAACCGGTATGATTATGAGTTTTGCGTTATCGTCGTCGTCTCTTTGGTCGGTCTTGCCTGTCGCCATGGTTACTGCATCTGGATTGCAAAATGAAATTATAATATGTACACGCCTCTTACTCCGAACAAGGTTTTGTACAATTGTCGACTGAGAATATGTATGGGGTTACTATTTATGGGCGGAATCCCCACGTTTCGGCATTTAACCGACCTGATTAGAAGTTCGAACCCGAAATTGTGAACTTGCGATGTCAGCGTAGTCGAGTCTTAGGCTCTAACTACTTCGACCATGGCGTAACTAAGAGTTCTGAAATTTATAATTGCCAAGTAAGACCGAAACAGCTAGCGGGCCCGAGAACATGGGTTTCCATGACTCCCAAGGATCCAAAATGCGTTTCATTTTCACATTTCAAAGTGAGGAGGAAAGAATCCAACCTACATGCGCAGTAGTTCCCATTTTTATTTTACAATATAGTTCAGTTTCCCCTTTTCTATTTTTTGGACATCGGAACGTAGTATGTGTACCAGGTTAGGGCTAGGCCATAATTTTATTTCAATTATTCCTTTTTTAGTTCTATTACGAGTTCGAGGACTAGCCAAGTAACTCCCGTAGTATTTGTACCTGAAATATTGGCCTAACCCTAACCTGGTACAAATACTACGTTCCGGTGAGTACTACGGGTGTCACAATTCTTTATGTTCTTGTTGTTGTTGATAAAAAAAAAACTAAGTATGAAATATTTACCTGTATCGTTTTGCTATTGTTTGTTGTTACCGCCAAAATCTGAATTTATTCTTTCATCCACTTCATTATCCGAGTCCATAGTTGTACTTGTGATACTATGTGGTATTGGGGTCGTAGTTGTTGGTGTCAAGAGCTGATCTGGAAGTAACAAGAGAGCACTGCTCAAATATTTGACTCTTAACGCAAATATCTGCCGCAATTTTAGTAAATGGTAAAAGAATTGAGCGAATGCCTAATAAATGTGTGTTCCGGATGTCATATGTATCAAAGGGATAATGCCAATTACAAAGCATAATCGCGAGTTTTGTAAAGATCTTACCAACATTCGCTACAATTATACGACCTTTTATACAAACAATCACCAAAAAAAAAACACAGTCCAGTCGAGACAACGTGGCCGTAGTGTCAGCAAAGAATTGCACCGAATGCCAAATAAATGTGTGTTCCGGATGTCATATATCAAAGGGATAATTCTGATTAAAAAAGCGCAATCGCGAGTTTTGTAAAGATCTTACCAACATTCGCTACAATTATACGACCTTTTATACAAACATCAGCCAAAAAAAAACACAGTCCAGTCGAGACAGCGTGGCCGTAGTGTCAGCAAAGAATTGTACCGAATGCCAAATAAATTTGTGTTCCGGATGTCATATATATCAAAGGGATAATGCTAATTAAAAAGCGCAATCGCGAGTTTTGTTAAAATCTTACCAACATTCGCTACAATTATACGACCTTTTATACAAACCCCCACCAAACAAACATCCCCGCCAACGTTCAAAATAAGAAAATTAGTAATTATCCAGTTTAGTTTAGGGTTCGGACGCGATTGCGCTAAAAATCAAATTTTCAAATCATTATTAACCACAACTGGATAATTATTACTAATTGGTATTTTAAAAAGTGGCGAGGGTGTTTTCTCAAATCTCGCATTTTGCATTAGTGGCAGTGGCTTTGTACAAAATATCCCATCTGAAATACTGGTCAGAAAAGCTGATCTCATAACCGACATTGACTGGCGACGGGACGCCGTGATACGCCATATAATTAGTTTTTTTTATCTTTTTCCCATTCCCTGGGATAAATATGTAAATTCTACTAAAAATCTACTTCAGGAAGTTTGAAAATGTGAATTCAGTTATGTCGACATTGTAATCGACGGCTTATGTAAGATGTATTCGGTTATGCCCTCCCACACCGTCAAGTCCATGCATCTGAAACAAATACCTGGGTTAAATATCCCTATACCCGTCTTGGACTGGTAACCGGACGAGGTGCCATGGTTCTCCATATTTTGGACTGTTTTATCGGCGGCTTTCCTCACCCCGTGTGCATATAGAAATGTGTGCGAACTAAGAAGCGCGATCGCGAGTTTTGTTCATACTCCTGTTTTAATATCAAAATTCTATTAAACCTTTAATTGCCGAGTAAGTAGCGCAATCGCGATTTCTGTAAATATCTCACCTGCACATTCAGTATACATATAAGAAAGCTTGAAGTTTGGAGGTTCACTCCCTTCATACGTCATGTAGAACGTGTCGACTTCGAGGTAGTGACAGTTGCCTGAAAAAGAAAAATATGACAAGTTACACAGAGTAATTTATAAAACGTTTATTCAAACCTTTCGCTCCTAACAAGGCCTTATAAAGCAGCCACCGATATCTGATAAATATAATAGAAGCAAGCCTGATACTGACAAAACAAAATGAGCAAGTGTAGCAAGTTTTATTTTAGTGGCAAACCTAATGGGTATTTGAATATATTTAACCAATATACATACTAGAATTCGGTTGGAAACCGAAGACTTATCGATCGAAGGTTAGGGGATACCCCAAAACAGTGGTCTTACTCCATAGTGACACCGTGTGTCCCATCACCAATTAATTAATAACTCGCTAGTTATGAGACATAATTCATCCAAAATCAATAGGCTTCTAATCCAAGCTATGATGAATGCACATGCAAAATCTGCAGCAGATCCAATCTCACTTTCGTGAGATATCGCGTTCATCTAACAGACAAATAGACAGACAAATACCTATTAACATACTTACCGATCAAGATCGATAAGTAATAATAGTATTGACTCTCGGATTTAAATGGAAACTTTCGGAAGCCCTGGTCTGTACTGAGTGAAACTTGGTTAAAAACTACTGGTTTAGTGTCTTGTTTGGAGCGGAAAAATTAAAACCCCATATAAAGAACCCACTGGAATCCGTTTCCGCTTTCTCTTTGCACAGCTTCCTCATGTCTTTTGAATCGGTGTGTCGAGTTGCAAAATAGTAGCAATAACCTCCGAAGTTTTGGTGCAGTTTAGAGACTTTACGGCCTGGAATAGATAATTGTAGATTGTTAATGTGGATTTGGGTACGATAGCCGGACGGTGTTAATTGTGTTGGCACCGTCCCCGTGCACCCTGGTTTATGATGTAATGAATTGGGTAGGCAATGCTGAACCGGAAAGATTCTGGCCGTTCCAAACAAGCGAGTACATTGGGGTAGTTACTGTATATTTCAATATTTCCACCACGCATTGTTAATAGTACATGTTACTCGCCTGAAACAAGGTCGTTATCTGTTATTTGGATCAATTCGATTGTGCAACTTTATAATATACGAACATTTAGCATTCAATACAATGTGTGCTATATAGACCTCTGAAGTAGTCAAGGTCGGAGTTACACTCTGTTAACGTGTGTTCAATAACACGGGAGCGTGGGCACGCAGATAGGGTAATAGCCCCTTAAATGCAACTTATAAAATATACTGAGATTTGATGATAAGCCTGAAGAGTCGGGCCCTGTCTTAAACGCAGTAGCCACTACTTAAAAACCTTTTTTAATAGATTCCTGTTATCAGTAAGCACTCCTACAAAGCCCTTTTAGGAGTTACAATTATAGAGATAAATTCAAAACCTACCTGCGAGCTTCAACTCTGACCCCTTGTAGCTGTCCCACAATGCAATGTAAATCATTTCATTGTTTTCCGGAATTTTTAAATTCCAGGTGTATGACGTCATAGGGAAATCAACTTCGTTTGTTTCAATTTTCCCGCTACGTAAAGTAATCGGCCGGAGAAAGGGGTTTGATAGTACAGTGTAGATTTCTGAAACATTATATAGATGGGGGTAAGAAAAGAGCAGTAATCAATATCGGGTGAATATGATGACATCATAGTTACGTCACTCAAGACGGGCATACTACGGTCCGCGGACCAAATCCGGCCGGTTGGGTAATTCAATCACGCCCGCCTGATGCTGCCACAACTCAACTAAACCCGAATTTTAATGTTTTAGCTTAAAAATACCTCAAGGAATTTGTTGAGATTGCGATTAAATTTAGTTTTGCCACGAGGATTGTTTTCCACTTTTACTTTTGTGAAATATTGTTCATAAAGTGTAACTTTTAAAGTCACACTCACATGGCCCGCCAGTGTTGGTGGGCAAAATTTTTGGCCCTTAGTACAAAAACCTTGCCCACTCCTGCTCAAAAGTGCTAATTCGCCATTATTCGACGAAATCACGGTTCAAAGACCCTTGTACTCTTACATTTCTGAAGTAATATTTGTAGGAAGTAATAGATTTTATAACGGAAATTTATATGGCCTGTATTAGCGTGAATTTCCGGAGTGACTTCTAATGCTTATGCCAGCATTATTAAACAAAAGAGGAAATGCTCAGATATATGAACACAAATGTTATAAAATCTCATATTAATGTGTTTCCATAAATTCATATAAATTAGCAATGTTTCGGGCAGAATAACATGCTCCATGGAGGATCCATTAAAATATATACCTACGCCTTTTAGCGATTTTTCCATTTATGAGAATTAAGATGAGAATTGAATGGTCCAGCACTTACGGACAAACCCGATTTTTTACAACTGCATTTTAACCACAAAAACAATTTATCTAAAACGATCGATATTTCCGAAATGGCTTCTATTGTGCATGTCATTATATATAATTAGACAAAATTGTGAGACTGAGCAAAATCTAAATTTTTTGAGGAGCCGTGAAGCTACGGTAATCAAAAGTATTGTTAGATTTGATCTTGCCCGTCTTTTTTTGTATACGGTTTTTACATTTCTCTATTTAGGTTCCATTCACTTATTTTCAAGGTACTTTAGCGTTACTCTCTGGTATTTGTAGCTTATTATTAGCAATTGAATACTGAGGTGGCGCACGAGACTTGATAAATTCTAAAAAAGGGGCGCGACTTAAAAAGTTTGAGAGCCACTGAACTAGGCGAAAATACAAGATTGTCAAAACTGAACGTGAAGAATCATGATTTTTACATATTTGTAACAAGCTTAGCGCAGTGTAGTAGGCAT